AGGTATTAACAAGTAGCCAGTTAAACGCGAGACCCTGACTTCCATCAGTTTCTGTGCCTTCTTCAGAAACTGTTCTTGGCACACTGCGGATGAGGTTGTCTACTTCCAGCTTTTTTCCTTTGGGGACCTAGAACTGCTCTGAATTCTTTGTTATCACTAGCTCACTGCAAAGTGGAATATTCTTGCCCTAGAGTCCCTTTCCTTCCATAGTATGCTTTACACACTTGCAAAAAGCATTAGGAAACCCTTACCACTTTACAACTGAACTAGCATCTGACTAATGTTTGAACTCTGTAACATCCCCCAAATCGACTTTATTTCAGGGGGAAGAAAAGTGACTCAGACCTGAATTGTTTTAGGAACTGTTAGAAAAATGTCTTTTCCATTTAATGAGGTTTTACGGGTATTACTGCTAACACTGAAGTGTCTTGCGGTATTTAATATTTTATATTCTTCTGTGGTTTACATACATTCTTGGGTCAGTATAGATCAGGGAGTATTTGTGTACTGTGTGAGTGATGTGGAGAAAGGGCACACTACTCAGTTTGGAGTAACAGGCATGTGTCACTATCAGTGTCTGCTTGACCCAGGTTACGCTGTGTACTTAGGCAAACTGTGGTTTGTTGATAATGCTCCAGGTGACCAATAAAAAGCTTACTTACACATAAGAAATGTGTGGTCTTTGCTTCTGTGGTCTCTTATATTTTCTTTCAATTGCTGTAGGTGCAGCTATCTTCTTTGAATTCAAGCACTACAAGCCCAAAAAAAGGTTTACCAGCACCAAGTGCTTTGCTTTCATGGAGATGGATGAAATTAAACCTGGGCCAATTGTGATAGAACTGTAAGTGATGTGCATATAGTATCTACTCATTTAACGATAACTAGTACGTCTTTCTTCTTAGAGCATGAATCCAGGTGTAACCTTAGACTAGATCAGTCATCAGCATATTTTAAATAATGGTCTTTCCATTGTGGTTACAGATACAAGAAACCCACTGACTTTAAAAGAAAGAAATTACAATTATTGACCAAGAAACCACTTTATCTTCATCTACATCAGACTTTGCACAAGGAATGATGCTGACATGAATAACCTGGAATTTCTGTGGATTTTGCCACTTGTTAGAAACCATCACAGCTCTGTGTAGCATGTTCATCCTTCAGAAATCAGAAAGCAAGCCGTACCTGTGCCCACGACCCAGAGTCCACTGCAAAGATGCACCACAAGATTCAGTCTAGCACATCACTGACGTAAAAAGACTCCTTTGGATACAGGTGTATTGCAGATTTTAAACCATATTTTTACTTTTCTATTAATTATGCAATTAATAATATGTTTTGTAAGTTACCACTACTTCTGCCCTGCTTCGTGGAAATATACTGTTGTGGGTAGGTTTGCTTATCTTCAGACTTAATACAGCAATAAGAATGTGCAAGAGTTTACACATCTGTTCACTGTTGCTCCAATATGCTCTAACTTAGGTTGAGTTAATTTCAAACTTTGGGTTGAGGTGGGTCGAATAACATGAAACTGCGTTGAGGGCAAGTGGACCAGTTACACTGAGGTGGTCTGGAGATGACAGGCTTGCTCCTGCGAGGTAGCCTGTCTTCACTCTGGTCTGATCGCTTAGAAGCAGTGTGCCTTGGCCAGATCGGCATCCCTTGGCTGTGAGTTTTTCCAGATGACCAGGTTGTTATTCTGAAAGTGAGCATACTTTTAATCATGTTGATTAGCTGTTCTTCTGCGTCACATTGTTACTCTTTCTGATAACTCCAGGGTCAACATTGGAACCATCTCAGAAATACAAATTTTTACATAGGTTTACAATGTCTTCCAAATCATGTAATCTAAAATAAGTCAGTTGCTAACATGATATTACAGGAACAACTGCTGTTTTTTCTGAAAACTGATTGTAAAACCTTAAAACCTGCATACCTCCTACAGTGATGAGTATGCAAAATCTGGAAAGATATTCTATTTTTTTTAAATATAGCTAGATAGGATTGCCATTTGTTTCCTATTTAGATATACTGAATGTTGAAATTCATCCATATGAGAATATGTAGGTCATTGGCTTGTTGTAATTTGCCTATTTACATTACTGTTGACTTCACAGGGCATAAATAAAACTTTCATAGTACACATGAGGTGGCTATTTGATATACAGAACATTAAAATTTGTGGTGAGCGTTCTGTGGGTTAGATGTAGAACCTGCATACTCTAACATTCACTATTTTAATAAACAATGCATGAGGGGAATGCAATTTCAGTACTTGGCCTATTTTTAAACTAGTATAATAACCCTAGTCATGCCAGTATGTTTGCTTTTTGAAATAAGTAATCATAATTAGTTGTTTTAGCCCTTGTACTTCAAGAAATCTACTCTTTACTTGCAGTTGTCTGTTAGGTCAGTTCTGTTTATTAGTTTGATGTTAATAAAAACTATATGAACCTCAAAGAATTCTCAGCCAAATTCAGTTGTGTGTCTTCTATTGATTGGATTAATTCTAGATTCTAGAGTGATTCAGTACACAGTAGCTCTAACAGGATGAAGAATTTGCCTTAAGGAATTCCTTTTGTCCAATCTCCACACTATAAGCTCCTCAAGGACCAGCAGGAGCCAGGTTTCCTCTGTGGCACGCACAGTTCCCAGGTGCTTGGCAGCACGCTGTACCCTGTAGAGAACTCAGTACAGGTTTAGTGTTGTCAACCAGCCTTAAAATAATTCCTTTAAATCCTATTAAAATGTAGCCAAATGAATGTTTTCTTTTCCTCATGACCATAAGATATGTAATCAATGTGGTAATTATTTATATGTAAAGAAACATCTGCTGTCCTTCACTTAAGTATGGTTTATGAACTACAAATGCCTTTCATCACTTATTAAAGAAGCTTACACTGACCATGTGTGAGTGGTTTAGCTTTGATTCAGACCTGAATGAAATGATAAGGAGTGACTGTCTCGGAGCAGCTGGCACAGAATGCTCCACATCCCAGATTGTTTGCTTTCCAATCAGCCATTTCTAACAGTCGCCACAACTGTGATAGAAATGGTTTTACATTGAAATACTGCTGCATCATAAATGAGACAGTTTTAACAACTAAACCAGAAACAGTTAACTGGAGATGATCTGAAATAGCTGTAACTTTGCAGATGGCCAAGTCTGACTTAACTGAGGATTGGTGTTCCCTGTGCCATGTGTACATTAACAGCTTGCTTAGCCTTGAGCCTTCCTATGGAGGTGGTGCTGCATGGTGAAGGAGACAGCCGGGGACTGACTCAGAACTGCTCAGGTAGGCCACATCGCAATCTCTTTCTAGCTTACTTATTTTTTAAATGAAATGAGACAGAATTAATTAACAGGTGTTAGAGGAAAGAAATGGTCTAATTTTGAGTGAAACAATAGAATTTATCTTGCCTGCTTGGTTATCTTCCTGGCATACATAATCCACATGTAAAGGCCATTTAAAACTAGAAGCTATTAACAGCATTAGTTTGCATCCTAAAGAAATAATGATATATATTCCGAAGTTGTCTTTGTGACTGGATCTTCATTTATCAGGGTTGGGCACTTTGCTTCTGCCAAGGATCCTTTGGGTATTTCTGTTATTTGCAGACCATGCAAGTTATCAACTTAAAAATCATGCTGCTCTAGGTTTACTCAATTTTGAGTCCTACCTGTAGCTGTCTTAAGGCCAGACCAAATGGACTTGGAGGCTTTATGCTGCCTGTGGCCACAAGTCCCCACATCTGATCAACATCATTAGAAATGACCCCTGCTTTTTCTGTGGAACTTTCATCTTGGATTTAACTTTTTGTATTGCTACTATAGGGGAAGACATGTAGATTTAATACTTTCCCTAGAGAACTTATTCCCTAGGAAATTTGAAAGATTTTCTTTCTTTCAAAGGTTCTTAGCTTTCAAATTACTGTTTTCAGTAGTGTAGGATAAAGAGATGATCTGTTTCACATTGAAGCTTTTGCACCATTTTAGAGTAGTGGTAAAATTTCAAAATAGGGGTGATGCTCCAAGTACAAGAACAGTCTAACAGTACGCAACAGCCTCTGGCTTTGTTTACTACTCTTAAACTTGAAATGTGCCATCAAAATTCAAATCGGGGGCCGGCATTGTGACACAGAAGGTTAAGCTGCAATCTGCGATGCCACATCCCATATGAGTCCCAACTGCACCACTTCCAGTCCAGCCCTCAGCTAATGTGCCTGGGAAAGCAGAGGAGGAAGATGGCCCGCGTGCTGCAAGAAGCTCCTGGCTCTGGTCCAGTTCAGTCCAGGCCAGCCCAGTCTCTGTGGCTTTCAGGGAATGAACCAACAGATTAAAGATCTCTTTCCCACTTTGTTTCCGAAACTCTGCCTTTCATATAAATAAGTTTTTATTTTTTTTTAATTGAAAGTCCATAATGTCACTAAAGAGTTAGTTCTTAGAAATATTTTTAAAGGTACAACATAGTAATGAGTATAAGAGTACGGTGTAATTCCAGATTCTTAGGTGCATTTGTTTTTAAATAAAGTACTAGTGGGCAAACATGATTTTGCAGCAGTATGGTTGCTGACCCAGAGCATTCTACAACCTGTGTAGTTCCAAATCATTCTTTATCATTGTATTATACACTTCTGATTTTTCTTTCACATTCCTTGAAAGTCAGTAGCAAGGCATAGGAAAGATACAAGCTGTACATTTTTGAAAAAGCAGTTTCCTTATCTTATGGGCACATATATCATTTTCTTTGTGTTATGAATCTTTAAAAGAATGGTAAAAACAGAACATAAAGCAAATCTTCACTATTAATGTAAATTCATACTCAAAAAACATTTTCCAGTGGGCAATAAGAAAGTAAACAAATGCTGTACAGGTGGCACCAGTAATTTCATTGCCATAAAATGTAGAAATGACTTGTGAGCTTACAGATGACTCAGGCTGGGCCTCCTAGAGCGTGGGCTGCTACTCAGCTACAGCTGTGGGAGCCCAGGTTTACATGTGTGCTAAATGATGCAGTCTTCTGACAATCCAATGAATCAACGGACGCTTAGAATATAGTAATAAACAAGTTTTTATGAACTATTACTACAAAGAACTTGAGCAAGAGGGGAAAATAAAGTTTGGTGATCTTTTAGTAAACACTTTTAGTGTAACAGTCTTTGTGACCAGGTTTTTTGTTTAAAAAATCAATCTTATAAACACCATTGCTCTGTATTCAACTGGTGTACACTAAAAATAGGATAATGGAAATACACGTTCTTAAAGCATTTCCACAGGAAATGTTCATATTTTTCATGACATTGTAAATCATTTAGCAATTACATATGCTACATTAACTAAAACACAGGTATTCTTTATTGCACATTTTAAAGTCGAAAGGATGTTCTAGCTTAAGAGATGAATTTTAGGGGAGAAAATGGTATTCTTGAATTGTTTGGCTCAAAAATGCACACTGCCAAGGCAGCACAGTTCTCTATAAACCTTTTAAAACAAACTTCTGGATTCTGAAGTCACTGAACTCCTTACTGTAACGAAGAGTGCACAGTCCGCTGCTCCCCAACTGCACGTCAGAGGTCACAGTTACGGGCTCTGTTTTAAAGCCTGTGAACAGTCCTGGCTACTGCTTTGAGAAGCAGGTGGAGGCTCCGCTCTGGAACCTGAAGGCAGTAAGTCTCTTGCAGCAGCTGATGGTGCATAATCCTGGGGTGGCGGTGGTAACCTGGTAGCAGGAATCAAATACTCTCTTGGGCCAGGAGGACCTGAAGGTCTAAAGGGTGGGTGTCCTGGTATAAATTCCCGAGGGTCAAAAAGCAGATCCGGTTTTCCAGGTGGAATGCCTGGTGCATATTCTCTTAAGCCTAGTGGTGGACGCATAGCAGGAACTGGAAAACACACAGTGACACAGACAGGTAAGAACACATTTAAATTGAGATGGTTCTAGATAATTCTAAATTATTAGTACGTTAATATATTATGACTTTCTCAGGACCCTAGAACATCTAACTTTGCATATGAGGCATTCTGAGGCTCAGCAAGATGCCTGTGGCCAGCCAACCTGCCATCAAGCAACACAGGCAGGATTTAAAACATGGTTCCACCTAGCTCCAGATTGGAACTATTTTGTCTATACGGTTTTGCCTTCCTTGCCTCACAGAGAGCTCTGTGCTTTGAAACATATATCATGCCAAGGAAACAGATTATGAAATAAACATTTAACTGCAATAAAAGTTCATAAAATGTACTATCAGTTTATAACTTACGCAGTAGGTTACCATGAATCTAACACAGTGCTCTGCTGAAGGGAAGTTCTGCTATTGTCTCCTTTGTATCTGACTGCTACCAATGGATGAAAAGCTTTGTACTGTTCAATTCAAGTTATGAGACGGGTCTTTATCACCTTTCTGTAACAGCCACACCAGTTATAATTCTGGCTTTCTAGAAAAGGACCCCCTCTCTTCGTCTATCCCTTCACAGGATAGCTGCCGTGAAGCTGAGTACAGGGAGTGCAGCATCTCGTGGGTTCTAAAATGGAGGAAAAGCCAAATGTGCTCAGCTTTATCCTCACCGTGCAAAGCCCTACAACAGAACTGTCCCAGCAGGGACGACAGAGAAGGTGACTGTGCTTCACCACTTACTACAATGAGTCATCATACCGAATGGTGGAGGCGGTCGAGGCACAAAAGGCCTGCCCAGCTGAGGAGGTGGTCCATATCGAATGGGTGGTGGTAGAGGGCCTATGAAAGGCACCCCTGGGAAAGAAGGGGGTCCTTTTGTCACCATATTAACCTGCAGGAATAAAAGTAAAGTTTTTAAATACTCAGATGTGACAGAGAAAAGCACTGATATCAGTACAAGCTCAAAGTCTAATGAAGTAGGTACCAGGGACCTGTCCAGCAAGCAAAACCTGTGCCCCAACACCAGGCTACCCTTCCCACTCGTTCCACTGGCACTTAGGTTAACAGGATGTCACAGGCCAGCAGTGACAGTGTCACTGTAATTTGCAGATAAAAACGGAAGGGAAAGCAAGAAAATGGACGCTATTAATGGAAGTGATTCCTAACTTTTAAAAGCCATACAATACTTCCATTTCTAAGGTTATCTTCCTTTCATAATAACTCATTATTTCTACAGTAAGTGCAGAGCAAGGAAAAAACACAACTCTTTCTCCACATGCAGTAACAACTACTAGTTAAGTACGTTCAATTGGCCTTTCCTATAGTATCTTGTCTGGAAACTGACAATATCTAAAATTATTATCTTCTAAATGGAAGGAAACAAAGAGTTAAATAATCTGCTTAAGGCCACACAGCATGTAAGAGGTCAAACTGTACTAGATAATACCAAGTTAGACTCCAAGCCTCTGCTCTTTCCACGGCTTCTCTCTCTCAAGGGGTCTCCACTCTTTGAACTTCTCTACTTCAAAGGGGCCTTGGATCTTCCCAGGCAACCCGTGAACAAAAATATCTTTTAAGGAACGTATTACTGGATTCATGCACTGGAACGGTTTTGTACTTTCCAACAAAAACAGGAAATACATATAAATTTTTTTTGTTTATAAATATATATCCTGTACATAAAATGTAGAATATATATTTGAATATTATAAATAAAATTACATGTGTAAAAGGAGGTATAATTCTTCCTATTTTCCTGTTTTCACTAATCCTCTAATATGATGATATTAATCACTGCATATGGAAAACTGGACTACAAACTCAGACTTTGATTTCAATGTAGAGAAGCAGTGCTGGGGTCGAGAGGGCTTACAGCTGTTACAGCTGTGCACGTGACAGGAGAAACACTGAGCTGAACATTCAGGTCATTCCTAGGAAGTAGTTCCATGGATAAATACATATTTTCTCATTTTAGTTAAACTTTCAATATTCTTCAATTATCAGTGTATAATTTCAGATCATTCAAAATAGGAATTGCCTAAATATAAATTAAGGCATTCTTATGTAATATATTTTCACAGGCAGCAATGATTAGTTATGCAGTTTGCTTAAGAAAACTTGTCCCTGGGCCCAGTGTGGTAGCCTAGTGGTTAAATCCTCGCCTTGTAAGCACCAGGATCCCATATGGACGCTGATTATACTCCTGGCAGCCCCGGGTCCCATCTGGCTCCCTTCTTGTGGCCTGGGAAAGCAGTGGAGGACAGCCTGAAGCTCTGGGACCCTGCAAGTGCATAAGAGACCCGGAAGGGGCTCCTAGCTCCTGGCTTTGGACTGGATTGGCTCCGGCCATTGCAGCCACTTGGGGAGTGAATCTGCAAATGGAAGATCTTCCTCTCTGTCCTCCTCCCTGTATATCTAACTTTCCAATAAAAATAAAATAAAAAATAAATCTTAAAAAACTGAACTACATTAAGATACTGAAATAATAAATAAAGTTGTGATGCCTTTTCCCATCTTTCGTTACAATTATAGCAGGTGTTCACAGGTTAACACTAACCGAAACAAGAGGAAAAAACCAAGCAACCAACTGTGAGTCGCAGTTCAGTAATACTCCCAAATTGAGAAGAGTAAATATGGCCAAGTGATTTAAAGCAAGTCAAGGAGAAGAGTAAGATGAATATTGCCAAGTGATTAAAGCAAGCAGGTTAGTGTCATGTTTCAAGTTTTCCTTGCAGAAACAAAACAAAAGCCTCTAAGTACTTACTGCTACTGGATGCTCAGAGGCGGTGCTGGGAGCTGAGGGGCCTCCAGGCTCCTGCGGAGCAGTGTGTGGTGTTGGTTTTTTTGTTTTGTTGGGTTTTTTGTTTTCAATGAATGAGGTAATATAGACAGAACACACAAACAGGAGATGAGGCAAAGACAGTTGAAACGAAAGTTAAAGGTTTCTGGAATGCCTACATTCCAAGTGCTTACCTTGCCCTCGTCCATCCCTTTAGTAGGGGAAGAGCCTCTGGAGCTGCTTTTTAACACGGGTGTCGAGCCAGATCCTGGGTCTGGTCAAGGAAAGGAGCCGATTCAATCTTGTGCCCTCTGGGAGGGAGCATTTACAAATCCAGCCCACTTCCTCCACAAAGTTAGAGCCTGTGGCCACTCGGGTGCTCTTACCAGAGGCAGGGGGTTTCCCAGGCACCTCCGATGGCCACCGAGGACGAGGGAAAGGCCCATCCATTGATCCTTGAAAAACAAATAGAGCCCTTGCATGCATTCTTCATAAGACATAAACCAACTGTGGATAGACTGGGTTCAACTCTACCTGGGAAGCAACATTAAAACAGTTCTCCCAGAATCTGTGAGGGGAAAATCGCTTAAATGAATTAAAATTATTGCCTTAGACTGAAAGACAGCAATAAACTCTGTTTATGAGCAGCATTGGTCCTGGACTCTCAGCTATAGTTCATGGTAATTCTATAGGCCAGTCTTCTTTTTTCAGTCTATATGTAATCTGTTTTCACATATCAAAGTATACACATACTTAAGAATCAAAATAGGGACCAGCATCGTGATGCAGTGGGTTAGGCCATGGCCTGTAACACTTAAATCCCATCAGAGTGCCAGCTCTGGTCCCGGCTGCTCCACCTCCAGTTGAGCTCCCCACCAATGTGCCTGGGAAGGAGCAGAACGTGGCCCAAGCCCCTGCAGGCCTGGCCCAGTCAGTCATGTGGCCTTTAGTGGGTGAAACAGTGGACAGAAGATTCTTTGTAACTCTGCCTTTCAAATAAATAAATATGCCTTTGAATAAATTCCAAATAGACTTACAGTATTTCGTATTATATGGGAAATCCAAGTATGTATGCTGCAGAAGCTGGAAAGTTCTAAAACTACTTCTGCAATATTTGTGAGAAGAAGCCTATCAAAATCTATTTAAAAACAAAATTTTATATTTCCCAATAAAAAAAATTAAAATCAAGAAACACCACCATGATGGACATATGACTGTTCCTGAAGGACTACCCAGTGTAATACCAGAGGGGCAATTAGTACAGGGAAGGGAATGGGAAATCCCAGAGCCTATGGAAATGTATCAAAAAATAATTTAAAAAAAAAGAAGAAGAAGAAAAAGAAACAACACTAATGGAGAGAACTCCAGGAAAATAGAAATATTTTCTGTTCTAACACAGATTTTGCAGTAAACCTTTCACTTTGACAATTTAAGACATTTTCTTCTCTACACTGATCACATTCACATTCTACAGTGTTTACAACTAGAATTCGTAAATATTTTAAAGCCTCTTGAGACAGTTACGTAAAGCACATGTAAAAGCTCACCAAATTCACTTCTAGGCGCGTCTCTCCGACCGAGGGTAGCTGAGAGGGGCCTCGCGGGTGGCTCCGCCAGCAGTGGAGGGGAGTATTCTCCACCACTCACCGGGGATGTGCCGAAAGAGCCGTTCTGGCTCAGGGGACCTGGAGAGGACAGTGCCTGTTACCACTTTAGGACAGCTTTTTCTTTTCTGAAGTTCTCGGGGTTACTTCTAGGGCACGGAACTAGACTGATTTACACATCCTTTACATCAGAACACAGATTGCAGCCCTTCATGAACAGTTCCCTACCTCTCCGCGGAGGGTTCTGTGGATGTGGTCGTCCCGGCATGGGCTTTACAATCACAGGTTCTTCCTTCAGCATTGCCATCTTCTGAGACATTTCCAGTAATCTTTAATTTAGGGAAAGAACAGACTTAAATGTAAAGTATCACTTCCCTATCAGATGCCTTACAGCAGAATCTTAAAAACACCAACACTGGAAATGCAGATCTCAACATCACGTACTTGTGTCTCAAGTTGGCAGCTTCCTTTTTCTCTTCAGCTATAGCTCTTTCTGCAGCACGGGCTTTGAGCTATTTAGAAAAAAATATTCAAATTCAGTTGTGGCAGATTGGCCACAAAGTATAGGAAAGAAAAAAGAAAATCTTACCCAATTTTCATGAGCTTTTTTCTCATGAGTAGCAATCTAAAAAAAAAAAAAAAAAATAGAAATTTATTAAAATAGTCATTAAGGTGGTCTGTGTTAGGTATAAAGAATTCTGCACCTGGAATTATTATTACCTGGTTTTTAAAAGAGCGCTCCGTTTTCTGCAATTCTTCCTCCATTTCCTCAATTCTTCGCCTAACAAGTACATTCAGTTATTCTTATCAGTTAAAAATGCAATTCACTCAAACTTGAAATAATCTGACCGTGTTCCCTTTACTCTAACTATACTTTTAAACTTTGACAGGTGCTTAAAAGCATGTTTACAGAATTCAGTTCAAAATGATCAGAACACAATTTCTTTATTCATTGCTTAACGGCTATAATTTTGAATTGATAAATCATAATTTCCTTATTTGTTCCTCAGTATGTTCTCAAATAATCCAACTGGGAATATCTTCCTCCGTAAAGCTTTTTTTAATTCAGTTATATCCACAGAAATTTCTGAGAGCTCTGTATGCCTATTGGTTGTATCAAACAGCACAGTCACTTTAATGGGTTTTAAAACGTCACAGAGAATTAGTTCAGAATTACATGCACTTCATTCTCCTACGGCCTGGCTAGCTATACGCTTATACTTGCTAATATCAGTACACAAGTTTACATTATTCATTAAAATTTTTTTCTCCTATGGTAGACGAGTGTATTCAGACCCTTCATCCTTTGTGCTGCTGTGCGGCTTTCTCCTGGATAATGTAAAACATGCCAACACTAGTCATTAGCTACTGACAGTTTTAGAAGCTGAACTCACTTGTAAGTTTTTACTTCTTCTGAAGCCAAAGCCGCCTTTTCATCTGCCGTTGACAGCCGCTGCTCCCTGTCTTCCCGCTCGTACTCTTCCTGACTCAGCTTCCTTAGAAAAAAGCCAGTTGTCAAAGTCTAAAATGTTCACCGCAATGATCACGTGCCTTGTCGGCCCCTCAATCAGAACCACCCAGGCATTCTACAAGAACAGACACTGTCAGCAAGACCCACAACATGGGATTATCGCAACAGATTGTAACTGTGCCATATGTATTTGTGTGTGTGTATTTTTTTTTCCAGGGAATAAGCACCAATATTCTTAATCTCAGCAAGATTAGAAATTACAGAACTGAAAGGTAACTGAAATTTTGAGAACTCAGTAAATGGCTAGCAGATTGGACAACTGACACTGCTAACACACTGGTATATAGGTCAGAAGAAAACATCCAGAACGAAGCAAATTCAGGAAGTAAGAGACATACAAAATTTTTTTTTATTTAGCATATTTCAATGGAATCAGAAGAGAATGAGGCACAACTACTGAGAGAAAAATGTCCCTCAAATTCAAGAGATCATTATGAGTCCAAGTAGCGTACATGTGTGACAGAGACAGATGCTGCGGTTAGATACTCCCAACAGACTGCCACAACACAAAAAGGGTAAAGTCACGCAGGGCAGCTAAGGCTAAGTGACATTCAAAAAGAAAAATTAAGAATAACAGATTCCTTAAAAGGACTTGAAAACAAGAAGATAATTAGTTGATCATCTTTAAAGTGCTAAAATTAAGTAACTGCCAATGTTTTTGACTGTTTAAGATTTATTTATTTGAAAGGTAGAGTTACAGAGAAATATCTCCCATTCACTGATTCACTTCACAATGGGGTGGGCTGGACTGGGTCAGCCAAAACCAGGAGGCAGAAACTTCTTCCACATCTCCCAGGTGGCTGCAGAGGTCCAAGCACTTGGGCCATCTTCTGCTGCCTTCTCAGGCACCTTCCAGGGAGTTGTATGGGAAGTGGAATAGCCAGGATGCAAACTGGTACACATATGGGACTTGCCGTTACAGGCAGTAGCTAAACCCACTATGCCACTGTCTGTGACACTGGCTCCTAACCGCTATAAGTTCTAAAACTCACAGGGAGATGCATTAAAAATGGAATCAAAATCAAGACATTCTCATATTAATAGTAGCTCACAAAATCAGTAGAGGATGTTCTTCATGTGGAATAGAAATAATCAAATAGAAGACTAAAGATGCAAAATGAAGTGCTAGGAAAATTATAACTGTAAACTAAGTGAATATTGATGGGATATCAATGCAAAAAGCAGTAAAATCATGGAGTATTAAAATACAGCACCAATAAAAGAACAAAGGAAAGAGGAGTGTCCAGCCTAACAGGTAAGATACCTGCTACTCCACGGTGACTGCCAGGTTCAAGTCCTGGCTACGGAGCTAATTTTAGCTGCTTGCTAATACAGACACTAGAAAGCATCAGGTGATGGCTTACGCAGTGGGTTCTTGCCATCAAAGTGGAAGATCCATATCAGGTAACAAGCTTCATCCTGGGCTAACCAAGGTACTAAGGGCATCAGGAGAGTGAACCAGCACATTAAAAGATCTGTTTCAGGCCCGGTGCTGTGACCTAGCTGCTAAAGTCCTCGCCTTGAATGCACCGGGATCCCATATGGGCGCCGGTTCTAATCCCGGCAGCTCCACTTCCCACCCAGCTCCCTGCTTCTGCCCTGGGAAAGCAGTCGAGGATGGTCCAAAGCCTTGGGATACTGCACCCATGTGGAAGACCCAGAAGAGCTCCTGGCTCCCAGCTTCAGATCGGCGCAGTACCGGCCATTGTGGTCACTTGGGGAGTGAATCACCAGACAAAAGATCTTCCTCTCTGTCTCTCCTTCTCTCTGTATATCTGACTTTACAATAAAAATACTGATTTGTTTCTTTTTGACTCTAGTATTAAAAATACATTATGGAACCAGTGCTGTGGCAAAGTGGGTAAAGCAATCACTTGCAGTGCTGGCATCCCGTGTGAGCACCAGTCGGAGTGCTGGCTGCTCCCTTTCAATCCAGCCTCCTATTGGGGAGCCTGGAAGAGCAGTGGAAGATGGCCCAAGTCATTGCGCCCCTGTACTCACATGGGAGACCCAGAAGAAGCTCCTGGCTCTTGGCTTCTGCCTGATGTGACCCAGACCATTATAGCCACTGGGTAGAACACCTCTCTATCTGTAACTTTTCCTTTCAAATAAATAAAACAAATCTTAAAGAAAGTATTTAAAAATTTTAAAAATGCATTACCGTAACAGATCTAAGTCATGAATGAGCTGAAGCCCAGAAGGGTAAAGCTATTCATCTATATCAGACTTTTTTTAGTTTAGAAAATTATTTATCTGAAAGGCAGAGAGATATGGAACAATTTTTCATCTACTCAGTTACTCCACAAACACCTGCAGCACCTAAGGATAGCCAAGAACCTGGAACTCAATCCAGGTCTCGCACATGGGTGATGGTCCCAACCACTGGAGCATCACCTGCTGCTTCCCAGGTGCACAGTTATTACAGAAAGCTGGAACTGAAGCAGAGCTAGGAATTTAGCTTGGGCACTCGGACATTAGAGGCAGGCATCCCAAAATGCCTACTAACTGCTATGCCACAAATCTGCCAAAATTGCAGCCTTCTTAGTGAAGTCCAAAATATATGCTATGGCCTTCTAGGATTTTATATAAAGTCAAGTGAAACAACCTACAGTTATCAAGTTTAGCAAGGTAAGAGTAAACAAGCTGTGAGAAAGAAAGGAGGAAAAAGGAACACAGAACATGCCATCAAGCAGAAAGCAAGTACCACTCTATATATTTCAACTCATACATGTTCAAGAGTTAGATTATAAGAAAAAAAAATATTGCTCCTTCAGTTTCTGTGCTTATCTATTTATGCCACAACTGACTCCGGAAAAAAATGTTAAGATGCATAGACATTTGAGTAAGCAGCAGATTGCCAAGTGGAAATAATAAAAACCCTTGTTTCACTGCAAAGAAGACAGCACATGTAAATACAGAGAGGTTGCAGTGTATGGAGCAGCAGGAGGGGCTGCTGCCTGGTGCAGCTGCAGAGCCGCTCAGGGCCAGCTGCAGAAGTGTCCTCCTCCTGCAAGGAATCTAGAGCTGATTCTGGAAGGATGAGAAGGTGCTTGGCAAACTTTAAGTGCCACAATGATATACAGAATAGAACCATAGAGGCTATACAGGGTTTGACCATGGGGGACTGACAGAAGAGATGAACATTCAGATGTTTTTAGGGTGAAAAATCTTAAAATGAACTATAAAAATGTTCCAAAAGATCCCTATCTCCAAACTTGAAATGTAAGTCTTAGAGGATTAATACTTAAATATGCATCCCAAACAAGTAGTTCCATATTTGAAACTTCTGACATCACTGCTATGTGCAGTCTGAGTATCTGACTATAATAAGTACATCTGATACTTTCACTAACTATATATTCCTTTTATGTAACTAAGAACCAGCTAATACAAATCATTCAGGATTTTCAAAGGCTATATTAAGAGCTACCAGAACAAATGCAACAAATCAGGATTACATAACTGACCATGAAAAAAAGAATTAAGTGGTGGACCCAAAGAAAGGGTGTGCATCACCAAAAGCAGCACTGGGCAGCAGGACTGTGAAGCCACTCCCTTCATCCGAATGAAGGGCATTAACTTCTGCACGCTGGTCAGAATGGAAAGAGCATTCAAAGTGAAGGAAAAACAAAGCAGAAGGAAGAGAGACTAAGTACAGCTGAAAGAGCCTATAGATCAATTCAAAGATGAAACTGTACTAGCATATCTACTTAATCATAATGGCAATATCACTGTTAATGAAGAACAATGGAAACCGTACTTTTGCAGGGCCATCTCCTTCTGCTGGTAGAGTTCACTCAGAATCTCCACTTTCTGCTTTAGTGTTTTGCACTCGTCTTCCAGTTCAGCTTTGGTAGACTGCAAGGAACTGTGGTCATCTTGTAATTTCTTAATTTGGTCTATAAAAGATAAACAGTTGATGTATGTATGCTCAAGGACTTGAGGATTTGGTCAAGGGGGCAATGCTGAGAGGAGTAGGAAGCATGCAAGTAAGAAACCCTCTACATCTTTCCAATACAATTTTATGTCATTCCAACATATGACAGCTTCTTCTCAAAAAGTAACCTACCTTCCAGGTTACATTTAGTGGACATGGAGGCTCTCAGCTTACTTTGTAAAAGTTTTAGATCTTCTTCGACTACTGATATTGCAGTCTGTGTCTAAAAATTGCAAAAGAAAGATTCTTAAAAATGAGGCACAGGAACAATTCATGGCTAGTTGTGGGGCTCTAAGAAGGGCTGTACCCGAGAGACGTCCATCATCTGCTTAATCTGATTCTTCATCTTCTCGCTCTGGTTGCCTAAAAAGCAAAAACTTCCTGTGATTTCCCCTGTTTGCTTTTAACTCTAAATTTTCTTGATTTCTCCAAAGTTAGATGATTATCATGTTTCAACAACGAATGAAACAATCAGTTAACCAAGTCAAGTGAACTTGACTGACTCCTAAGAGAATTACAAGCTTAGATTCACAAAGTAAATTCTCAGTTTGTACAATGAAAATATTATTCGTGCCATTTGTGAATAAGAAGAAATGTGTGAGATAAAGTCTTTCTATCGCAGACCCAACTCCACAGTGGCAAATGTATTATCCAGAAAGATTCACACCCCTTTTTCCAAAGCGTTTGGTTTAAGACAGTATGCAGGCAAGATCCAACTTGAAAGATAATGTCTAGAAATTTTCCTCACCAGTAAACACTTCTCCCCTCAAGTCCCAGCACACTCTAACTTTTGTCATTGGTTTATGGCTCAAACCACCTTAATACCTTTAAAAACAGGAGGTAAGCCTCAAAATCAAAGAGCTAGAGATGAAGTGTATCAAAATCATATGTCATTTCCGTAAGGCTGAGAAATAACTTCTCTCTACTCTACAGTGTTTCAGTATTTAGAAGCATAAAACATAAAGTCCTCAATTGCAAAGGAAAATAAAATCAACACTGCTTACAAGCTGTTTTGCTACCTCCATACCCCATCAGCCTACATCTGCTCAATGCAAATAGACATGTATATAAATTTAGTGACAAGTGTCTACAGTTTGAAGAAATCCAGGGGCAGCATGTGGAACAGTGTAAGCGACCACTGACACCAGCATCATGAATCAGAATGCTACACTGAGTGTCAACTAATCCACTTCTGACTAATCCACTACTGTGCCTGGGAAAACAGAAGATGGCCCTAGGCCGCTGCCACCAATAAGGGAGACCAAAATGAAATACATTTTTGTCTTCTGGTTGTGGCTCAGGCCAGTGCAGCCATTGAGAGTGAACTAACACATGGAAACTGATATCTCTCTCTCTACCTCTATCATTTTGTTTTACAAGTAAATATTTTTTTAAAAGATGAAATGCAACCAGCTGAAAAGCAGCATCGGTGTACTTACAGACAGAAAAGCAAACAGAAATCCCACCTCCCCAAGATGATATTACCTCCTAGTTCTCCTTTGGCTAATTCATCTGACTCATTTCCTCCTCTACTTGGACAATCAGATGCGGATTCACTCTCTAACAGATTCAGCTGTGTAATGCAGTTAGTCAAAGCCTGCAAGAGAAGCAAACGGGGTAGAGCCCCTCAATTACATTTAGGCAGATTTTGTGAGAGTTCCCGAGCATTAAGCAGGCAAACAAACTTACATTGACATCACCATCTTTGTCAGTAAGAGCTACTTCCGTATCTATCTTAGATTTCTCAAATGATTTGATTTGTTCACTGAGTTCCGCATGTGATTTGCTCCAATCTTCAATTTCCTGCTGCAACTGAAATACCAAAGCACACGAATTCCTACAGGTTAGGGCTCTTGCATTACAGACACTAGGGCCATGTGGATGTGACAGGGACAGAGAAAATTGTGTCCCCTGGCATGTCACTGTGGGCTAGGAGTGAGGGGAGGGTGACCCTACCCTTCCAAGCACTAATAAGAATATCAGAACTATCAAGTTATTGCATATTTCAGAGAACTGCGGCAATGTCAAATAAATCACTTCAAATAGGAAAGGACAAACACGTCTCATTGTCGCCTAAGTCCAGACTCCTAACAGTAACTGTTCAAGCAAGCCATGGGATTACTAATTTTTTGGTTTAAAAAGTCCATCTAGTCAACCCTTTGGAGCTACTCAAGTTAGTAAGTTGGTGCTTGACAAGATGAAGACTAAACACTCTCATGGCTGCAATGAATTGTACATAAGAACAGAAAATCCAGAACAGATGGAGAACATACACATGGACCAGTTTGGGAAGCATGGTTTAAACTGCATATCCAAGAACAGGGTTCTTCATGAATATTTCATTATCTTAAAAACAGTTCCAGGAAAGAAATTTATAAGACAATGACTTTCAGTTCTCTCGATCATCTATGACGTGAATTTTGCTTACCTGTTCTTTTTTCTTTTTAAGCCTAGCATTTTCTTCTTGAACTCGGTGGCATTCAGACTTCACCTTCTCTTCACTAAGTTTAGCTTCATTAAGGGCGATCTGAACCTAATGCAAAGTAACCTCTTAGTGAATTAATTCCAAAGGGAGAAAAACGGTCATAGATGTAGTTTTTTTTGCATACATTTTGCACAACTAGTTTCTGCTCAACAAAACTAAGACGCAGTATTAATACTTTTACCTCTGAAAATTCTGAAGCATTCATTGAAATAACATTCTTTAAAGTCTCTATAGACTTCTTGTTTTCCAGTATCTGTCATGTGGAAGTAGAACAGAAAACATGAATTAGGATTTAACTTAAAATTCCAGGGTATATGCTTCAATGAACACACACTAACAAAGCTTATCTTGAGCCACCCTTTACATTACAGGAAGAGCAGGAGATTCGCTTGGTCTGGAAGGAAACTCAAGATTAAAAAGATGAGGGAAAATAATCAAAGGTGTAAATATTTCATGGCTTCTATCAACTTTGTCTGGTTATGAAATAATGTAATATTGGCTCTCCAGACAAATAGAAAGTAAATACATTTTCATGTAGACAAGTTCAAATTAATGTTTTTTGTTAGTTTGTTTTTACCCTAGGAGTGAAAAAAAAAATCCCAAAGTCACTTCAAAAATTCTTGTCTAAGAGTTAGCATTGTGGTAAAGTGGGTTAAGTTCCTGTCTGTAACACTGGCATCCCATATGGCCGCTATTCCAGTTCTGGCTGCTCCACTTCTGTTCCAGCTCTCTGCTGATACCAGAAGCTGGCCCAACTACTTGGGCCCCTGCCACCCATGGGTGGAGACTTGAGTAAAGCTTCAGGCCCAGCCATTACAGACCATTTGGGGAGTAAACCAGTGGATAGAAAGTATCTCTCTGCTTGTCCCTCTCACTGTAATGCTGCTTTTGAAATAATTTTTTAAAAGATTTACTTATTTTTATTGGAAAGTGAAATACACAGAGAGGAACAGAGACAAAGATCTTCCATCTGCTGGTTCACTCCCTGAGTGGCCCAAAAGGCCAGAGCTGAGCCAATCCGAAGACAGGAGCCAAGAGCTTCTTCTAGGTCTCCCACGTGGGTGCAGGGTCCCAAGGCTTTGGGCCATCCTTGACTGCTTTAACAGGCCACAAGCAGAGAGCTGGATGGGAAGCAGGGTCCCTGGGACACAAATTGGTGCCCATATGGGATCCCAACGCGTGCAAGGTGAGGATTTAGTCGCTAGGCTACCCTGCCGAGTCCTAAATAAAATAAATTAAAAAAAAAAAAATACTCTTGGCTGGGTCTAGCTCAATGTCTAAATCCTCAGGTTGCAAACACCAGGATCCTATACAGGTGCTGGATCATGTCCTGGCTACTCCACATCCCTTCTACTCCCTGCTTATGGCTTGGGAAAGCAGCAGAGGATGGCCTGCCCAAAGCTTTGGGACTCTGCCTTTGCTTGGGAAACCTGGAAGAAGCTCCTGGCTTTGGATCCACTGTGGCCACTTAAGGAGTGAACCAGAGGATGGAAGATCTTTCTCTCTAGTAAATCTGATATGCCTTTCCAAAATAAACAAACTTTAAAAAAAAAATTAACCTGACTATATTAAATGGTAGAATTTGAGAAAGATCACATAAACGTTACATACAGAAGAATCCCCAATAGCCTATGATGACGTTAGAGGTGAAACCCGATTCCCTGCTGTTTATAGATCCAGATGTGCACGATCACTTCCTTCCCAAGAATGCAGGAAAGAAAAGGTTGAAAAATAATCATTTTGGGGCCAGTGCCTCGGTGTGGCCGGTTAACACCAAGTTTCACCTGTGGCACCAGCATCCTATATAGGCACTGGTTCAAGTCCCAGCTGTTCCAGTTCCAACCCATCTCCCTGCCCTGCTAATGGCCTGGGAAAGCAGCAGGGATGCCCCGAGTGTTTGGGCCTCTAAACCCACGTGAGAAAGCCAGAAAAAGTGCCTTGCTCCTGGCTTTGGAACAGCCCAGCTGCAGCTGTTGCAGCCATACTCAGGAAGCAGAGAAGATCTCCTTTTCTCTCTGTAACTCTGCCTTTCAATTTAAAAAAAAAAGGGGGGGGGATCATTTGAAAGGAAACACCTGGCAACTCCTACCTCAGCTGGATGATCATGCTCAAGTGGGATGGGGTAGCCAGGATGGCAAAGTTCAATTCACATAACGTACAAAATAGTTTCAATGTCAGTTACAGTAACAGCAGCGGAATGCTTACCAAGTTCTGATTCATGGCATTCTGTTCTCTCTCAGATTCTAACATAACACGAAGATTTTTAGCAGTGTCATCCAGAATTTGATTACTTTCTTCAAGACGCTTGATTTTATCCTACCAAAACAAAATACTTAGTAATACTTACTCATGCCATTTACTTTCGATTTTAGATTACAATCTTAAAAGATGAGATTTTTTTTACCTTAAATTTAACTGCTTCATCAGAGAGAATTATATTTTGTTTCTTGGTTTCTTGAACATGTTTCTTAGACTCTTTGATCTACATAAAATCGAACATTGAGAATTCAGGTATATTATAGCGCTACCAAAACTTGTTTTCAAGGGAGTGACCCCTTACATAGGGAGGCACTAATTTGTAACTTAATGACTGCTTAGGATTTGGACAACTGCAAGGCAATAATAAGAAAATACAATTTTGAAATATACTAATTGAACTATAAGACAGGTGGAAATATATTGAAACAATGAGGGGAAATGACTGAAAGAACACCTTTACCTTTTTTTCGTAATCAGACAATTTCTGTACAAGCTCTGCATTTTCTTTCATGATATTTTTCACTTTCTCAGAAATCTGCTGTTCAGTGACTAAAAAGGGGGAAAATCCTTAAGATTACTATGATCAATAATACCCACACACACATACTTCCCACATGTTACCTGGCACTATGAGGAAAAGAATTTGCTCAGGCACATTCATGCCTTTAAAAAGTACTTTGTGGGGCCCAGCGTGGTAGCCTAGTGGCTGACATCCTCACCTTGCTCACGCCGGGATCTCATATGGGCACCAGTTTGTGTCCTGGCTGCTCTCCTTCCCTTCCAGCTTCCTGCCCAGGACCTGGGAAAGCAGTCAAGGACGGCCCAAAGCCTTGTGACCCTGCACTCTGGAGACCTGGAGGAAGCTCCTGGCTTCAGATCAGCTCAGCTCCAGCTATGGTAGCCACTTGAGGAATGAACCAGCTGATGGAAGATGCTTCTGTCTCTCCTTCTCTCTGTATATGTGACTTTCCAATAAAAATAAATAAAATCTTAAAAAAAAGTGCTTTGTGGATGAGTGTTAAGTGGGTTAAGCAATCACTAGAGATACCTACACATTCCATATCCAAGTGCCTGGACAGAGTCCTGTCTCTACAGATCCAGCTTCCTGCTAATGCGCTAGGGAGACAGCAGACGGTGGCCCTCAGACTTGGTTTCCCACCACCCATAGCGGTTACAGGGATGAAGTTTCTGGCTCATTTAATCTGACTATTATCTTATTGTAGGAATTTGGGGAATGAACCAGCAAATACGTGTGTGTGCCATTCAAATAATCTTTTGTTAAAAATAATTTGTAGGATGTGCATGTGGTACAATCGGTTAAGCCACCACCATATCCCATATTAGAGTACAGGTTCACGTCCTGGCTGCTCGACTTCTGCTCCAGCTCCCTGACGCTAATGCAGCAGATGATGGCGCCAATGTTGCAGCTACTGCCGTCCACACTGAGGACCCACAGGGAGTTCCTAGCTTGCAGCCTCAGCCTGGCCCAGACTTGGCTATTGCAGACATTTGGGGACTGAATCAGCAGATGGAAGAGTTCACACTCTGCTTCTCTGTTACTTTCTTTCACATGAATAAATAAATATTTTTACAAAGCATTCTAGGGGCTGGCACAGTGGCTAAACAGGCTAATCCTCCACTAACAATTCAGCATCCTATAGGTGCTGGTTGAGGTGCCGGCTATTCAACTTCTAATCCAGCTCCCTGCTTTTCACCTGGGATGAGAGCAAAGGACAGCCCAAGTCCTTGGGACCCTATGCCCACATGGGAGACCCTAAAGAAACTCCTGGCCCCTGGCTTTGGATAGGCTCAGTTCCAGCCATGGTGGCCATTTGAGGAGTGAACCAGCAGACAGAAGATCTCACTCTGTCTCCCATTCTCTGTAAATTTACCTTTTAAATAAAAAATTTTTAAGATTTATTTATTTTCATTGCAAAGTCAGATTTACAAACAGAAGGAGAGATAAACATCTTCCATCTGCTGGTTCATTCCCCAAGCAGCCACAATGGCCAGAGCTGAGCCTATCCAAAGCCAGGAGCTTCTTCCAGGTCTCCCAAGTATGTGCAGGGTCCCAAGGCTTTGGGCCGTCCTTGACTGCTTTAACAGGCCACAAGCAGGAGCTAGATGGGAAGTGGAGCTGCCAGGATTAGAACTGGTGCTCCTATGGAATCCTGACACATGCAAGGAGAGGACTTTAGCCACTAGGCTACCACACCAGGTCTTTCAAATAAAAAATTTTTTAAATCTTTTAACATAGTAATCTATTGCTAATAACAACAGGGGTGTAAACTTTTTGAAATCTAAAAACTCAGTGAGATTCCATCAATATATTTCAGATCTGAAAGATAGCAAAAAGTTAGAGCTCACTTCACAAGTACCCTTCTTCTCAGAAAATGGGATCACTTCAAATACACCATTTGCAAAAAACAAACAAAAAAAGCAGCAGCAGAAAATTCAAGCATATTACTATTCACTTCTTCTCCTCAGGTCATCCATGTAAGCAAATAGTTAACATGACTAAAATCATTAGCACAGGCTTGTAGTTCACATATAAGGAATCTGAATTACTCCAACATCCAGAGCTATCCTGCACCAAATCAAGCTAATTGCCATCACCCAACTCCTCATCACCTCCAGCTATTCCACTTTCCAAGCCAGCAAGCTAGCAAGAGTAAAATCCTCGGGAATTGGGTCAATCTGACATCAGAAGTCACCATATAGATCTACTCCTATTTCACCTACAACTCAATACAAAGGAAGAACAGTACAACAAAATAACAAAATAAGCCAGAAAACTTACCTTGATATACTTTATTTTTTACCTAGAAGAGAAACAAAATGAATTGGTATAAAACATTTTACTAACAGAATTCACTTCCTGATGGTCAAAATCTTAGTCAAATGGAATTTAATAATGGTTTGGTTCAGCGTAACAATTCAATGAGATTAAAAAATAAGGTCAAGCAACAACTCAAACCCCAAAAACAATTTTTGATTGATAGAAACACTAAAGTATGTTACTTTCAGCCAAAGATGTTTAATAATCTATTAAGTGAGCACCAGTCTTAAGAAGTAAGCACCTATAACATTGTATATTGTTGCTGATGTTATGTTGTGGCTTTAAATTGATCGGGATGATATTTTGCCAGCATTGCCTTCAGACCAGGGATGGTCTCCCTAAGAAGCCGTTGAACTTATCTGGACAATAAGATGCTGGACTCTATGCTGGGTATATGCTTGCAATGAAGGAATCTCAATTGAACTTGAACTGTGGTTACACAACAAGGTGGAGGAATCCACCATGGGTGGAGGGCTTAGAGAGGGGTGGGGGGAATCCCAGTACCTATAAAACTGTATCACATAATACAATGTTATTAACAATAAAAAAAAAAGAAGTTTCCCTCTAAATATGCATAGCAAAACTGATGGTAACATATGGCCCTATATTTTTTCCCTTCTTGCCAGCTCACTAAAATAAATTTACTTTCAATTAAAAAAAAAAAGAAGTAAGCACCTAACTTTATTAAAGTAGATAATTTTTTCACAATAATACACTAATGCTTTATTTACCCAAAGGGTTTATCTGACAACCCCCAAACAGCCAGAAAGAAGTCTAGAACCAATGATTTTCAAAAAGACTCTACAGAAACAAAATTAAAGATAAAATTTTTATCTAAGATATGCCTCTAATTCTCCAGAAGAAAAAAATCATAGAAATCATACTACAAGTTGGCTACTTACTCAATCTGGAAATATCCAATAAGCTAAAACATCAGACCTTCTCAGATCACTAAAATCAGTGGTTATAAACCTGAAAGGTTTCAAAAGTTGGATTGCTAGAGGAAAACCAACAAGAGAAGTGTTGGGCTGGTGCTGTGGTGTGGGGAGTTACACTACCCCCGCAGAGCTTGGCTGGGTACTAGCTGGAGTCCCAGTTACTCCACTTCCAATTCAGCTCCCTGCTAATGTGCCTGGAAGAGCAGTGAGGATGGCCCAAGTGCTTGGGCACCTACACCAAGTGGGAGACTCAGAAGAAGCTCCTGGCTTTGGCCTGGCCCAGCCCCAGCTATTGGGGCCATTCGGGGAATAAACCAGAGCATGGGAGATTGACTTATTCTCTCTTTCAAATACACATAAATCTTACCAAAAAAAAGAGGAATATCAGCTGACATCCTCCTTAAAGGGAAAAAGATGTGGCATTTCCCAAAGATAGCAATGAATTACATGATAATAGAACCAAATCAGTAATTAATTATAACAAATTATAAGCATAACTAAAATAATTAATTATAACAAGTTATGATAAATATAAGCATAACTAAATTTCTCTGTAAGCGAGGATATGAAGAAATATTCAGACCATGGCAGAAGACTCTATGGCATCTCAGTATCATCATAGTATCTACATTCCATTTACAATAATGTTGTTAGAGGAAAATGCATTCAGAAAACTGCAACACGGCAAGAAATGACTATTCATCTAATGTCCTAGCCTTGCTAATTAGAGGGAAAGTTTCCTTTGCTCCCTTTCTTCCCATCAACATGCAGGGGAAAGTGAGAAAACGCTAAAACTAAAGACCAAGTGCCCCAAGTCAGACGCTGAGGCTGGGAAGCAGTGTCAGGACACGAAGCCACAGGAAAACCCAGAGGCCGGGCCGTCTGCTGTGGGACCAGGGAGAAGGGGAACTGTGTTTTCCCTTTTCCTGTCCCTTCCTTTTCATGAGGAACAGCTATAGGTCAGAAAAGTCCCGAAGGAGAACAAGCAGGAACTTTTCAAGAGAATGTTTCTTTTCAAGCAATTATAGACCCAGCTGTACAAGATAAATACAATTACATTTGGTATAATTTGTAAAATTGCAAAAAAAAAAAATACTTAGATTTGGAAAGATTGGTATTCAGTGCTTTTGGCAACTCCAACTGTTAAGATTTAACTGAAGGCTTTTTATCTACAAAACTCCTCTACACTGACAATGTTTACCAATCATGTTAAGTATGACATATAGTGGCATACAGACTTCCTTACATAGTTCAAAAAGTTCATGGAAAATGGAATTAAAAGATGAGCTTATTTTGGGGTGAAAAATCTGAAATCCATGCATGTGTGATTTCTTTACAATGTTCACAGAAAATGTATCTTATGAAAAAACCATACATGAATTTTTAAATATTTTGTAGTAAAATATCTATTTCTTCAATTTTCTAGAAATTTTCCTATACAAGCAAAAAGTTACAAGAATTTCTATCATTTTATCGGATTTCCTTTAAGTACTTTCTCAGAGTGTGTGTATATAACAAAGCTTATCTGCAGTCTGAAGTCTTGGAGTTTACTTTTATCCACTTACTATTGAGAATCTGCTGTACCCCCAATGTCTTCAAAATAAACAAGGCCATCTAACAGCCTGTTATACAGATGTGCAATCATTTACATTTCCCTCCTAGGGGTTATTTAGGCTGTGTTTTCACTCTATAAATACTGCTGCACTGAACTCCGGTATAAGATCTTGAACAGATTTTTAGACATGACGTTACAGGATGTAAAAAGGATATGAACATTTTAAGGCTTCTGATACATATTATTAAACTATTTTTGAGGATGGCTGTATGAATTACCAGTTCTATTTGTAGAACACACACATGCACTCCTACTTCTTACAACAGTTTCATAAAAGGATTTATAAATTGAAGTTTTTCCACTGAGATCATATGCATCTCATTTGCTTTCATCTTTACCAACATAAACATTACACCAAATTAGTATAGTTCAAAAGGCTAGCCTGAATTTATAAGCACTCAGCTGTCAGGAACTGAGAAAAAAAAAAAGGTTAGATTCATGCATCAAAGTACAGGTTAGCTTAGTTTACTCACCACGAGGATGGTTCTCCAGAAGAAAACAGCAAAGGAAGCAATTCCCAGGAAGGCAGTGAGAAGAACAGGTTTCCAGGGCAGTCCATGAAAATCAGGTCCCGGCTGGACCCCATCGGGCAGCGTGGCAACTAGCTGAAACAGGTGCATTGCAAAGAATGAGAAACTGTAAGGAAATCTGCAGTGAAGTATTCCAAAGTGTCGTCGTAGAAATTCTAAACCAACATCAGATGACCAATCTCCTCCCTCCCCACAGCCTCGAAACTCCTCCTGCTTCCAGAAAGAGCGAGTACAAGCAGCCTCCTGCTCCTGCTTGGTCTTGCCTGGTGTTTTGGAGTCCCTTGAGTCTAAGTCCTTTCTAACCGAGTACACTCGAGTCCTTTCATACTGCAGTGCACGGGCCCTGCCACACAACGCTAAGACATCATTAGGGTTCCTCGGATTGAACTTTGGTGTTGGGTAAGTTGGCTTTAGTCACGCAAAAACAAAAACAAAAACCACCTAAGGGAGAGTGACTTAAACATACTATAGAAATAATCAATTTTCACGGCTGCATATAGAACCAGTATGGCGACAATAACACCAACGATGTGTTACTCCTTGTAAGATCTTTAACCATAACTTCCACTCTTCTGGTTTGAAAAACAACAAGAAATGCTAAGTTCAGACAGTTGGAGGTGACTGGTCTACCTAAACTTTGGAATTTAATTGTCGTCTCTAAAGCTCCATGCCTTGATTCTAACCACTTTCTCAAAGACGGGAGTTAAACACCTGCCTGCCACACACTGCTTTCACTACCCTAAGCACACCCAGTCCCCAGCGATGCCCACAGGGCAAAGACCGGCAGGGCCGCCATGCCCTGTGTATTTTGACCACAACAGCAGACCAGAAGGCAGCAGCAGGATCTATCGCTTTAAGTGCTCCACCATAAAATGGACTGGTGATAAAGGCTTCTTCAACGGACCCAAGGCACAGCAAGCCACGTCCTGCCCGGCCTTGGGCCGGACGCACGCCTCGGCCCGCCAGCCAAGGCAGCCACCCACTCCACTCGCCACTCGTCCACCCGCCGGCCAGAACCGGGAATCCCGCCCTGGGAACGGGGCCGTCACCTCCAGGAGCTTGGCAAACAGCGCTGCGTAGAGCACCGACAGGGGTCCCAGGAGTTCCGGGTCCCCCTGGGAAGCCGCGACAGAAGGCACCGTGGCGGGCACCGAGTCCATGCTGGCGGCGACGCTTCCCTGCCGACAGGCTCCGGACAGCCCCCCGACAACGCTCCGCCTCGGGAAAGGCCCCGGCTCAGGGGGGCGGTCACCGGGAATGAACTCGGCCTTCACCCGGCCACTAGCACTTCCCTCCGGACGCCTCCGGTGGCACACGTCACCCGACACTGCTCCCCGGGCCGCAGTCGGCGTGCTGACGCGGAAGCGGGTCCGCGGGGGCGGAGCCAGAGTGGAAGAAACCAATTCCGGGGGGGGACGGGGCAGAAGCGCGAAGGAAACCTGCAGAACCCCGGTCTCGGCGAAGCCAGCGGCCCCTCTGCGGAGTGAAGACGCCAGGGGAAGCTGCATGGGAGAGACGCTGTGGGCGCAGGAGACCCCCCAGCGGGTGACTGCGCTGGCACACCATGCAGTGGCCCCACGTGCCCAGACCCTGGAAGTGATGCCTCCCGGCTCCTCTCCCGAGGGCCTGTAGCCCGGCACGGCCGCCGGGTCCAGGACAGAGACCTGCCTTCTGCCCACGCCCGCCCACGGCTCAGTTCTTCCTCCCAAGTTCCCCTGTCCTAAGCAGTCAGGCCATCATCACCACTATATCTAAGTGTTGTAACGAGGCTTGTAAGGTTACTGACTTAGATTATAAATGTTTGGGAGGAAAATTATCGTTGGGGTGAGAAAAGCGGTATTTGTAGATCGTAAAAAACATGCCTTCCAGTTCCATAGGGCCAAGTTCAAAAGAACAAGCAAAACCCTGAAACAAGAGCCTGGCTGGACCCTGTGAAAGTCCAAAAAAGTAGACCATGAATCCCAAAAGGTAGACCATGAGACCGAGCAGAAAAGCCAGGAGGCAGCTGCGTTGCACACCTGGCATACAATAAAAATCAGCGGAAGAGGCATATTTAGCACGGCCATATGGAAAATGGTTCAAGAATACAAAAGGGGAGGGGGTCTTTTTGTCATTGTTTACAAATATCAGAAGCCTGAATGTAAAAAATAAAGACAAGTACTAGGGGGGAAAATGGGCTTTTTTTTTTAATGTATGAAAAAATGTATGTGCACTAATATGGTAGAATTACGTCTTAATATTCAGAGGCCATAAAAGAAAGCAATTGTAAATTTGATGACTTAAAATTATTTACCCAGCTCCCTATAACCTCCCCCAATACATACAAGAGCAAAATAAACACAATTTGCCATTGACAACCTGAGGGAACGATACATGTAACATATTACAGACAAAAGATACAATATTCCTGAAATACAAAGAGCTTTACAAACACATGAAGATGACCAGCAAACCTAAAGGAAAATGGGCTGAAGAAATGACTTGTAAGCATATAGAACACAGAAACATCTGCTTCGCTCATCAGGAAAGAAATACAAATTGATTCTACACCAGGTATCATTTCTCACTCAGGTTGGGAAAATCCAAACAGCTGACAACAGGCTGTTGGAGAGAGAAGGTGAGGCAGACAGCCTCTCTTCCAACATGGCTATCATCACACAAAACGACACAACTTGACATGAATGAGAACTGAGCAGCCTCTCCCAGAATTACCTGCCAATTCACCTGCTGACTCAACCATAGCACTTCTGAAGATATAGCTCAAAAACAATGGCAATGCAGCAAGAGAAAAATGTTGGCAAGATGGGCAGAAGAGGATCTCTACGTGTCTGCCTGTCACTCTGCCTTGCAAAGAAACAAAACAAAAGGATACATGCACGAAACTGTCATTTCAGCCCTATGTGCAGCCTTATTTATTGGTAATAAGAAGATTGCAAGCAACCAAAATATCCATCAAAGAACTGCTGAATGAGCCAAAGTATATCACAAAGCTGTACGTAAGAGGTAAAATAGTTTTACATACAGCTAGGCTATGTTTCCCTAGCTACATAAATAGGATCGGGCAGGGTATGATTTCTAAAATACATCTGAAACAAGATACAGAAGAAGTATGTTTGGAATACTACTTTTATCTAAGCAAGTCAAAGAGAAAAACAAATTTTTTTTAGAGTCTCAAGGTAAAATTGTGATGCAATAAATTACATGCACTCAAATGATCCATTGACTTGTGAAGCCATCGTCATAACTCAGATAATGACCATTTAAACTCCCGAAGTCTCCTCAAGCGCCTTGCTAACCCCAGTGTCTCTTGTCACTCCTCTCGGCGCCTCACCCCCAGGTGGAACCGTGATCATGATGGTTTGTGTTTTCCAAAGTTTTATATACGTGGAAGAAAACATGAGCGATTCTGTTTTCTCTGGCTTCTCTCATTCATCTGCCTGGCTGCATGTACATGTGTATCTATGTATAGAAGTTGATGTTTTTCTTGCTAAGTAAAACTCCCTTGGAGCAGGCAGGACTAGCACTGACACTTAGAAAGCTGGTGCTGCAGGCACTGGCTCGGCCCATCGTGCCACAATGCTGGCTCCGAGACATGGTTGTTTTTAGATGTAAATTTTTTATCTGGTGACAGTAGACTTCTGTGTTTCTGATCTTGGGGAAAAATCATTCATTCATTCAGTATGAAATATGATGTTGGCTGTAAGTTTACGTTTTTCACCCTTGGGGCTGGCATTATGGTACAGCCAGTAAAGCCACTGCCAGCGATTCCAGGGTCCCACATGGACAACAGTTCAAGTCCAAGCCGCTTCATTTCTGAATCTGCTCCTTGCAATTCACCTGGCCAGGCAGTCCCTGGGCTCCAACACCCACATGGCGGAAGCAGAGGAGGCTCCTGGCTCCTGGTTTCAGCCAGGCACAGTCCAGCTCATTGTAGCCATTTGGGAAGTGACTCAGTGGATAGAGGATCTTTATCCCATCTTTGCCTCCTTCTCTCTCTCTTCCTATGACTCTGCCTTTCGAATGAATAAAAAAATAAATCTTAATTTTTAACCCTTTTATTGCTAGCTTTTTGGCTTTTAGATCATTATTCAATGATTTTTTTAACCTAAATACTTTTTCTGTGTTTACTGAGAACATATAAAGTATATTCATCTTGAAGAACCAGTTTTGGGTTTTGTTTTCTCCATTTTTCTTTTGTTTCCACTTCACTAATTTACCTTCTCAAAGATCTTTATTACTTCTTCTGCTCGTTTGAAGACTAATTTGTCCTTTTTAACCAGTCTCTCTCTCTCTCTCTCTTTTTTTAAGATTTATTTATTCTTACTGGAAAGGTAAATTTACAGAGAGGAAAAACAGAGAAAATATCTTCCATCTGGCGGTTCACTCCCCAAATGGCCACAATGGCCAGAGTTGAGCTAATCTGAAGTCAGGAACCAGGAGCTTCCCTTCAGGCCTCCCACGTGGGTACTGGCACCCTAGGACTTGGGTCATCCTCTGCTGTTCCCAAGCCATAAGCAGGGATCAGGATGGAAAATGGAGCAACCAGCTTACCAACTAGCATCCATATGGGATGCCATAGCTGCAGGTGGAGACTTAGCCTATCACGCCATGGACCCAGCCCCTGCTTCATACTATCTTAGGAGCACAGGTACTTAGGATACTACTATTCTCTTAATTAACTGACTTTTTTGTCATTAGGAAATAAATTCCCTTCATCCCTAGTCACATACTTTGCTCTTGAGTCTTTTACATAATTCTAGGTTATCTTCTTTGCTGGCTTATTAGCTATATGGTTTTGCTATGTTAGTAGTTGCTTGAGGGTCTATAAAATACATGTTTATTCCACTCCACCTTCAAATGACACTACATGCCTTCATGTCTTGAATAAGAAATTTAAAACAGTGACTACCATTCCTCATCTTTTTGATCTTTCTATTATTTTACAACTTACTTTCAGGTGTTTTTCTAAACTCCACGTTACATTGGTAATATTGATCTTTAAATAGCCAGTTGCCTTTGTAACACACGTAACAAGCAAGCAGTCTGAAATATTTACCCACAGGGTTGCCACTCCCAGTGTTCTTCATACCTATGGACAGCTTTAGGATTCCCAAAATGTTATCATCTTTCTTATCCCTAAAAGACTTCCTCTAACATTTCTCAGGGTTCAAATGTGTTGGTGAGTTCTTTCAGCTCTTGTGTGTGAGAAAGTCTCCACCTTCATTTTTGAATGGAACCTTGCTGCATATGTTAAGGTAGGCCAACAATATTGCTCTTAAGGTACAGGGAAGATACTACTCTATTCTCTCATTCCTTATTCCTGGCAAGAAATCTGCTGTCATCTTCATCCTCTTCTCTGACTACTCTTGTTCACTGGCTCAGAGTAACTTGACCTTGCTATATCTTGGTATCTTCTCTATGCTGCTCGGGGTTTCCGTGGGCCTCCCAGACCTCTGGTTTTCTACTTTTCCCACACTCGGGAAATGGGGAGGGCATTGTTTCTTTTAGAACACCTCTTCTCTTTTCTTCTAGAGCAACTCCAGTCTCGCAGCCGTCTCCACATCCACCAGTCTCTTCATGTGTAATGCCTAACTTGTCAATAATCCCATCTTTTGTGCCTATTCTCTCAGGAACTGTGTAGTTTTCATTGCTAAGTTCCAGTTGGGGTCTTAATCTCTCAGGGCAGACATGAGTCTTAGCAGCTGGGATGCTGCTTGGGGGTATCCACATCCAGTTTGGGGTTGGACTGTGGGTTCAAGCAGTACTGTGTTGGGTAAACATTCCTCAAGGCTAGACAAAGAACAAGAAAATGAGGGGAGGGAGGGAAAAAATGGGAAAAGAGCACCTGCCAGCCTGTCAAGAGGACTGGGAGACCCATGCATTAGCGCTCACCAGAGTGAATGGCTGTACAGGAGAGCCAGCCAGCACGTGACAGGGTGCTCGGCCTGCGTGTCGGCAGGAAGTCAGCTCCACAGAGCCATGCATGCACGCACACAAGGGCTGCTGAAACGTACCACCAAGAGCCAGCAAGGAAGCTTCACACACCGCTGGCGGAGTAGGAAACGGGGCAGCTGCTTTGGAGAACTGTTTGGCAGGTTCCTTTTTAAAATACATATATATGTATTTTTTTTTTTAATTGAGAAGGCAGATTTGCAGAGAGAAAGAGAGACAGAGAGAAAGATCATCCATCTACTGGTTCACTCCCCAAGTGGCTGCAATTGCCACAGCTGAGCTGATCTGAAGCCAGGAACCAGGTGTTTCTTCCAGGACTCCCATGCAGGTGTAAGGTATCAAGAGTTTGGGCCATTCTCTACTGTTTCCCCAGGCCACAAGCAGGGAGCTGGTTGGGAAGTGGAGCAGCTGGGACATGAACTGGAGCCTGATGGGATCCCAGTGCTTGCAAGGCGAGGATTTAGCCACTGAGCCATTGTGCCAGGCCCTTGGCAGCTTCTTGTAAGAGAAAATATAAGCCTACCATCCGAGGAGACTCCTACATATGAGTCCCTTTGTATTGCCATCAAACTGAAATTCCACAATGGGAAAAAACTAATATGTTCTTAAATATGGAGGGACATCTGGCTGTGATATAACACTAAAGGAACTGGGCCTGGAGTGGTACCCTAGTGGCTAGAGTCCTTGCCTTGTACACATTGGGATCCCATATGGGTACCAGTTTATGTCCTCGCTGTTCTGCTTCTCTTCTGGCTCCCTGCTTGTAACCTAGGAGGGCAGTCAAGGATGGCCCAAAGCCTTGGGACCCTGAACCACGTGGGAGACCTGGAAGAGGCTCAGTTCCAGCCATCATGACCACTTGAGGGAGTGAACCAGCACTTCTCTCTGTATATCTGCCTTTCCAATAAAAACAAATAAAATAAATCTCTAAAAAAAAAAAAAGAGTGCAGGGATCAATGTTGTGGCATATCACACTAAGCCTCCACATCAGAGCCACGGTTCAAGTCTTGGCTGCTTTGCATTTTGATCCAGCCCCTTCCTATAGCACCTGGGTAAGTGGCACAAGATGCCCCTTGTGGTTGGGTCCCTGCAACCCATGTGGGAGATCCAGATGGAGTTCTGGGTCCCTGGTGTCACCCTGGCCCAGCCCAGGCTAGCGTAGCCATTTAGGAAGTGAACTAGGGGGAAGAAGATCTCTTTCTTTATGTGTCGTTCCCTCTCTGTCACTCTGCTTTTTGAATAATTTTCTTTTTAAATGATATAAAAGTAGAGGAACATATAGCCTTATAAGATAGGTGCTTTCACTGTGGGAAATGTTGATATGCAATGATCAGGGCTGTATCAGAAGAGATGACTGCAATGAGTGAGAAATTTGACAAGCAGTCCTCTAAAGTCTCTGCTGTCAGATTCCACTAACTATTGGTCACCTATTAATCTGTGAGTCTGACATCTGATACAACTTTTCTGGCTGAGTTAACACCCTGTTACTCCCAGACACACCAATATCCATAGCACTTGATACTTCACTTAGACTGGTTCATACATAGTTCCATGTCCCCAATTTTCACACATATTTGACAAGCCCTTTTATGAAAGCTTTTCAAACATTAGAACTTCACCTTATACTTCTTAGAATTTTTTATATCAGGCACAACATAATGTATGTATTGAGCCATTAAAATGCTTTATTGAGGAGGCCAGTGCTGTGGTATGCCAAGTGAAGCTCCACCTGCAGTGCTGGCATCCCAAATAGGCACAAGTTCAAGTCCCAGCTGCTCTATCCAATCCATTTCCCTGCTGGTGCACCTGACAAGATGGTGGAGGATGGCCCCAAGCGTTTGGGCCCCTGCACCACACAGAAGAGCCTGGAAGAAGCTCTTGGCTCCTGGGAACTAATGGCTTTGGACTCTGGCCATTGTAGCCATTTGAGAAGTGAAGTGGCTCTCACTCTCTTTTTCCTTTCTCTTTGCCTTTCAAATAAATAACCAAACCATTAAAAAAAATTTTTTTTGGAGGATCCCTTTCAACAGAGTGCTTAATAGCTTTCTGCCTCGCTACCCCACTCTTAAGTCTATATCTTTCCCTTTCACCCTAACTATAGACCATGCCCTATACCACAACCGTGCCTGCCAGCCCAGGCCAAGATGGCTCTATGACCATATGGAAATACAGCAAAGACAGGATTGCTCCCGCAGCTGGAGGCTGTTTAATATCTCAAGTGGTGATGACTAAATTCTGAATGTGGAAGCTACCTTGATCCCTGGGCATATCACTATTCTAACTGCATGGATCACACACATCTTTACCAGAGTGGCTGTCACCATCACAAACCCCTATGGTATAGAAAACCGACCTGGCTTTCTTTTGTCACTCTCATTCTCATGGCCTTTCCAAAGAATTCAGCAGGACATTCAGTGTCTGAAATCTGCCCTCTCATTATCCATAGGAGCATTTAGTGAGGGATGAAATCCTATAAAACACCAGGCACTGCACCAGACATTTTAGATCATCAAGTCATCCAATCCACATATCAGCTTGATTGGGTATTATCTACTTTGTTCAGATGATAAAGCTGAAGTTCAAAGTGTCAAAGGTTAGTCTTTTGCCCCAGACTTCTAAATAATGACTTTGGAATTTGAAAACAGTCACCTTGGCACAAAATCAATATACTTTACAAAACAACAACAACAGAAAAATCCTCTTGAAAGAACAAAACCTAGAGGAAACCACTCTTGTTGAGGAGGATCATTTCTCAGCAGTCCCAAGGGCAACTTGGCCTTCAGCTTGGAAAGCTTGCTTACTGTAGCCCTCAATTTTCTTAAGACAAATCATCAGTGGCAAGAAATACCACAAGGGGGAGCTAAGTCCTAAAAAGCTTAGACCAACAGAAGGATTTGGATGACGACAATCTTTACAAAAAGATCAGTTTAAATACATATTCTATTTGAAGTAATTCTAAGAAATATTTTTATTTGTCCCCTTGCTGCTTCACACCTTGCAGGGATTTCCCACCTCTGACAGTCCGACACCATTCGTCGTGGTTTCCCGGGAGCTGCCCCAGCCTCCCTCCAACAGACTGCTCCAGCTCCACATTTTAACACCACCAGCTACTCATGCCTTCCCTGCACCCCTTCTCTTCATGATTCCATGTCTCACGCTTCCCCCTTCTTCCTCCCCTAGCCTGTCCACTCCACAGGAAACTACTCATCAAACTCCCATTTGAACTTCATCTCTGCTTAAAATGTTTGGCAGTTAACCTTGAACTGCCATCCTTTAAACACAACAAACCATTGCATGCAATCTAACATTCTACCACCAGCTAAACACATTGCTGTCTGCCCACATCACATGTCATTTCAAAGGAGCTATCTTTACCTCCAAGCCAGCCTGAAGGGCTCTGAGGGGCAGGAATCATGCTTTATAGATGGCCCAGCCCTGCTACCGCAAAGCCTGTTGGTGGGCTAAACTTAGACAACAGGAAAGTCACACACCTGTGGCTCATTTAGGAGGCCAGCTTTAAAGGAATCAGGTGTCATTATCAGATAGACATTTTACCCCGTGCTCAAAATCAACTTAAAAACTGTTAATCATCAATATGTTGGTTGAAGAAATTATGTTAAACTTACCGTGTTGCTTACATAAAGCAAGAATGAATATGTGAAAAGAACTGCATTTTCCACAGGCGTAGCACTTGCTGACTCCTCCTCCTTGGTCTCTGGCTGCTTTTGCACATCCACAGCATTCACAGGAGTGCCTTCCGTTGCAATCAGCCCTAAGACTGAGGGGAGAAAGGATATTTTACTTCATGCTTCAGAATGAGAATTCTCAGTTTAACATTGAGTGACCACTAAAGCCCAGTCACAGGACCTAGAATATGTGGTTCTCCTGAAGACAATGGCACCAAGAAGAAACCTCCAAATCCCAATGGGAACCACCATGCCCACTGATAAGAGAGTGAACACATCTCCAGGTCTCCACCCCACCAATCCCCTCCATTACTCCCTGCCCATGCAACTGCTGTGGGAACAAAACTTGCTCATGGTCATTGAGAAATACAGAATGTTGCACTCGTTCCAAAGAGAAACAGCTAAGTTTACCAATCATTTGATTTAGTGTTGATGAAGTCATGTATAAAGAGTGTGTCTTGCTCACAGATTGCAGGTGTTTGATCCAGCATCGGACTCCTGGCAAGGGCTCAGTGACTGCCTTCTGAATGGATGAAGAAGAGCTGCACAAAAGGGAACGTAGCAAATGCCCAAAGCCAGCAAGTAGAAGGCTCACAGGGTAGGGAACTGGCATGGTGATTCTGCAGACAAAGTACAAGTCCAGCTACACCTCAGAGGATTGCCAGAGAAGGGGTTGGTAGGGAGGGGAATTCAAGAAGTTATGTGTGTCTGGTGCACATTTTGTAAACGCAAAAGTCCAACACACAATCAGTGAGAAGTTGGTTTTGTTGTGTCTAATGAGGCAACACTTGGTAGTGACCCATGACTTCAACCACTGGTGAGGTTTTCCCCATCAGGCCAGGATCTCAGCATGTAAGAAGCATGAGGGGCCATTTGCAGAGACTTCTCTGTAAGAGTCATGAGTGTCATCTTGTGATAGAACTAAAGGAATGGAACAAAGAGTTTGTTCTCGATTCTGTGAGCATAAATTTCTTGAATTTTGAGCAAAAGCAGTAACAAATCTTAATGGCATATGATTCATCTTCAGCAAACAAATCTTTTTAGGTTAAAAAAAGAGAGGGATGATTAGAAGTAAATAATTATGGGTCCAGCATAAATCCTCACCTTACACGTGCCGGGATCCCACACAGATGCTGTTTTGTGGCCCAGTTGCTCCACTTCCCAACCAGCTCCCTGCCTATGGCTTGAGAAAGCAGTCAAGGCTGAACCAAAACCTTGGAACCCTGCAACCACAGGGGAACCCTGGAAGAGGTTCCGGGCTCCTGGCTTCAGATCAGCTCAGCTCCAGCCATTGCGGCCACTTAAGAGAGTGAACTAAAAGAGGAAAGATCTTTTTGTCTCTTCTCTCTGTAAATTTGCCTTTACAGTAAAAATAAACAGATCTTTAAAAAAAATACATAAAAACTAAAGAATTACGTAAGAATGCAATCTCATGTCATTCCTCCTCAAATTAGCTAAATTCCTCTGTGTGCTGACCCCTCCTACCTTGTGTGTGTATTGGAACTGTGTGTGAGTGTCTGTGTGTGTGTTGGGAGTAGGAGATGGAGTTAGCCCAGTGCTGAGACAGTTAAACTTACAGACAAAACCCTCTCAAAACACAAAACACAGTAAGGACGTCATCACATCACCTTGCTGAACAGACCAAACAATACCATCAGCTGTTTCTGGTGTGCTGGTGGAATGAAAGGAAGCTACACAAACATGAGACAGCAGCTGAGTACATGATGGGGGCACTGCTTTTCTTTTGTACTTTTTAAAAAATGGTTTTGTTGTCTCCCACTGGATGTAGATCATGAGCTATCAAACTGGACTATTCCACACTCCAATTTCTCTATTGCTTTTGACAAGGATAGAGGATATGCTTTGGATATAAATATCTCCTCAATGCATTTTTCTTTACCATGTCCAGAGAGCAAGTAAAAACATTATAATAATAAATGAAGGAACTGGGCCTGGCACGAGAGCCTAATGACTAACTCCTTGCCTTGCATGCACCAGGATCCCATATGGTACAGGTTCCAGCTCTCTGCTTGTGGCCTTTGGAAAACAGTCAAGGACGGCCCAAGGCCTTGAATATCCTGCACCCACATGAGAGACCCCAGAAGAAGCTCGGGATTCATGGCTTCAGACAGACAGGCTCAGCTCCAGCTGTTGTGGCCATTTGGGGAGTGAACCAAAAGAGGGACAATTTTTCTCTATGTATTTCCTTCTCTCTGTAAATCTTCCTTTCCAATAAAAATAGATGAATCAAAACAACAACAGTAACAACAGAACTGAGCAACTTTGTATTCTATTTGGTGAATGGAGAGAAGGTGATGAAGTGGAAGGAAAACAGAATTTGGGAGTTTCTGAGCAGCAGTTCTCAAACTCTAGCCTACAGGGGTCACACCTTCCTGCAAGGCCTGCTGAGAGCTTCTGGTGCTACTGCTCTGGTTAGCTCCAGCCTCCAGCTTTCCCCCTGGCCTGGCTGCAGGCATCTGGAACAGGTGGATGGAAGCTCTCTCTGACTGTCTTTCCTTCTCTCTCCATGTAACTCTGTTTTTCAAATAATTTTTAAAAATAATAATATACTGGAGGTTGATAGCTGGCACAGCAATTAAGTTACTGTTCTGGACACCCACATTCCATATTAGAATGCTTGTTTCCAATCCTACCTACTTGGTTTTCCGTGCAGTTAACTGCTCACGTGCACCCTGGGGTGCAGTAGATGATGTCTCGGGTTCTTAGGTCTCAGCCAACCACATGGGAGATCTGCACTGATTTCCAAGTTTCTGGCTTTAGCTTGTAATATCACAGAATGGTTATCGCAGGCTGCTGGAAAAATAAAAATCAGCAGACGAAGATCTGCCTCTGGCTGCCTCTTTGTCTCTCAGGGTGTGGATTAACAGGAAGCTGGAGTCAGGAATCTGAGCCAGGCATAGGAACCAGGTATTCCAATAGGCACTGTGTGCACCTTAACTGATGGGTCAAGTGTTTGCCCCAAGAATAATCTTCTAGATTAAAATTACCTACACAGTTAGAGACAAACACTGGTTTATTAGCTCAGTGGTACTCTTGTCTCTTTCTTGCTTTTGATTATCTTATAGCCTGCTTCTCTCCTAAAACGTTCTACAGTTTTTCCATCGTACGCAGCTGGATTCCCGCCCCAGCCCCAGCACTCCCAACTTCTGCCAGCAACCTCCTTGGCAGTTCTGGAGAACATGCATCTTCTTTACAGTGGAAATTAGCAAAATTCACCTGGACCTGAGTCTTCCTCAGGACTCGGTGGCTCCTCCAGCTCTGGCTTTTCTGAGGTACTTGTGTCCCCAGGCACGGGTTGATCCAAGCCACCGGGCTCTTCAGGAAGCTGCACAGTAAGGTCTCCCACACTCTCCTGTGGGAAGCCAGCCTCAGGAGGTGGTTGTATCTCTACAGGAGAGAAGGTACTGGTTTAGCCCTGCTTGAGGACACTGCCCATTCAGCTGATCCCATCGGCCCAACCTCGACCCCCATCACAATGCTGCCCTCCACACTCAGGCATTTGGGAGAACAGTTGAGGAAGCAAGACTTTCAATTCCTTTGTGCCTTTTTAAGGATAGCTAACCTACATGACCTTTAATCCAAAGTAGTTCACAAATGAAAATACTTAGGGTAAGGATTACCACAACTTCCCCAGGCAAACCAACACAGAGATAAGTGTACAGACAAGAGCTGCTGTCAAGAGCATACGTGTGAAACACCTGTCTCACACAGAAATAACATGAGCTGTTTCATACACACACACGCCTGTCGCACAGAACTGGTGCAGAGGAAGAGGCTCAAGCCAAAGTCCAATAGGATTTCTTTGGACACTCATGTTTTATCCTGATCATTCTTCAGAATGTAGGATTTTTACTCAAACTAGATCTACATTAATTAAATGCAAAAGCATCCTTCTCCCCAATCCTAGAAAACAAACCAAAAAAAAAAAAAAAAATCAGAGCGCCAGTGCTCAGAGCTGTGGTACAGCAGCGTAAGGCAATACCTGTGATGTCTATGTCCCTTGTGGATGCCAGTTTGAGTCCTGACAGCTCCACTTCCAGTCCAGCTTCCTGCTAGTGTGCCTGGGAGAGCACCAGAGGATGGCCCAGGGCCCCTGCTACCAGCTGGGAGCCCTGGATACAGTTCCAGGTTTCTTGCTCTGGCCCGGCCTGGCCCAGCCCTAGCATCGTGGCCATCCGAGCAGTACACCAGCAGATGTCAGACCTCTACCTCACTCTGATGCTCCCTCTCTTTCACATAAATAAATAAACCTTAGTTTAAAAAAAAAGAAAGGAAGAAAAAAACAAAACAAAAAATACTCTACGGGGACATATTCTGCAGGGGCTCTGTGCCCCCATAATGTACCATCTATCTCAGTTCAAGTACCCCAGTCTTAAAAATAAGGGTTCAGACAATAAGACAATAGAAGTAGGAAGCCAAAAAGCTATGTCACAGTCTTGCCTTGGGGTGGATTTGGCAAACACCTGTGTGGGTCAAATGCTGAATTAGAAGGCTCCTCCTGCTTCTGCTGGCAGAGAGCCTGAAGGGAAGACCCTTAGGCTCCTGAGAGGCAGCGAAGAACTTGCCACACACAGGATAAAAGGCAAAGGCATTGGGCCCGGCACGGTGGCACAAGTGGTTAAAGGTCCTCGCCTTGCCCGCCCCGGATCCCATATGGGCGCTGGTTCTAATCCCAGCAGCCCCGCTTCCATTCCAGCTTCCCTGCCTGTGGCCCGGGAAGGCAGTCGAGGACGGCCCAAAGCTTTGGGGCCCTGCACCCGCGTGGGAGACCCGGAAGAGGCTCCTGGCTTTGGACCGGCATAGCATCGGCCATTGCGCTCACTTGGGGAGTGAATCATCGGACGGAAGATCTTCCTCTCTGTCTCTCCTCTCTGTATATCCGCCTTTCCAATTAAAAAAAAAAAAAAGGCAAAGGCATTATCAGTCAATCCAAACCAAGCTCTGCAAAGCCCTTGCGTAAGGGCCTGTGAAACCTGGGCCCTGCTAACAGGCCTACTTTGTGCATCAGCTTTTCTTGTTGGTTTTTAAGATTTAATTATTTTTATTTGAAAGGCAGAGTTACAGAGATATAAGGAGAGACAGAGAGGGACTAACAGATATTCCATCCTTTGGTTTATTCCCCTAAATGGCCACAATCACTAGAGCTGGGTCAATCCAAAGCCAGGAGCTAGTTGCTTCTCCAAGTCTCCCATGTGGGTGCAGCGACCAAGGATGTGAGCCATCCTCTGGTACTTTCTCAAGCACATTAGCAGGAAGCTGGATCAGAAATGGAACAGCCAGGACTCAAACAAGTGCACACACGAGATGCAGGCACTGCAGGTGGAGGCTTAAATTACTGTGCATGGCACTGCACCCCTACCCATTTAGCTTTTTGTAGCTTTCTGCTGAAAACGTTAACTTGTATCAGCCATCCTAAAGGAAGCATAGTCAGAAATCCTTTTCTATGTTCTAACTCAAAAGAGAGAAGGCAGGAAGGGCCATGGGGGCCTCCATGAATGGGTTCTCTCCTTTAGGTACTTGGAAACTGTAAACAGAACTTTACAAACAAGAAATGTGCACTGTAGAGAAACAGCACCCACCACCAGCCCAGCCTGGGTCCCCAGTCCGACTCTCCCAAACCAGAGGCAGGTCCCTTACCTTCTGTGGGTCCTCCCCAGCTTTCCTCAGCAGGTGGGGCTGTTATCAGCGGGGCCGACTCCTCCACCACAGAGTGCTTGTACCTGACAAAATAGATCAGGTCTTGAATATCATCCAGCACTGCAGCCTCTTCAAATATGTTATTTTCCTTCACTCCCAGATCTCTATTTTCGGTCACTCGAGCATCAAGCATTTTCTCAGCTTCGCTCAGAATGTGCGACTCTGAGACACGGAAGGCCTTATCGAGGACTTTTTCCACATTATAGGGCAGGCTCTCCTGCTGGACCGACTTCAGCTTCAATGCCATTTCATGGAGCATGGCTTCCAGCTCCCGGACATCAAAGTACTTCTGGAAGCGTTGCAAAGACTGCTCGTCTTTAAAGAAGCTGCTTATTATGGGCAGGTCCTCAATGCGGCCACCTGACCCTAGCCCGGGCCCTGCAGGCATCTGGGGGCTCCCCGGGAACAGGTCATCTTCAAGCACCTCAGAAGCAGAGCCCTGGTTTTCCTTATCCACAAATTTCTCCCCGTCCTCAGCATCCTCTTCAGAGCCTGTTTCCCTGCCGACTTTCTGTGAGAGCTCTGTGCTCTTCGGCTGCTCCTGGGGGTGGTCTTGCTTCAAGAAAGCAGCGTGTTTTTGCTGAAACACTTGGCCTGACTCTGGAGGCTGAGTTTGGTGATCAGGAAAGTCATTGACTTCAGAAGAGCTCTGAGCTTCCTCAGCAACCCGCGGCCTTTCTTCCTTTGCCAGGCCCATCCTGCTGGGTTCCCCACCCAGCCCACCTACTCCTTCTGCCGCAGGTTCACTTTTGCTTTCAGCCTCCGGAATCATCTGAGTTTCTTGCTTGTTTGCTTGAGCTTGGGGATCAGGCTTAGCTATTCCTAAAACTACCACTTCAGGCACCTGCAGACTGACATCGAATATCCTGTCCTGAGTCGCAAGACCTTCTTCCTTAGCCTGTCTTGCACTTAGAGCATTTTCATCTTCCAGGAGCTCTTCGAATAGGTAGTTATCCTCTTCAGCACCTGCCTTTTCCATCTGGAAGCCTGGTATTTGTGCACCAGCAGCTGGGTCTGTCTTTCCCACTTCCTGGGTGCCCTGCACCGTCTTGTGATGAGGCAACTCTGTGTGCGTGGCGTCCTCTTGGCCCTCATCCCCAGCGAGCTTCATCTTCTCTTTCTCCTGCATAATAACAGCAGCAGCGCCATCACCGTCTTGTTCCCAAGAGACATTTGTTCCCAGAACAGGAACCTCTTCTCCCCATTTTTCTGGAAAAGGCACTCCAACTGGAGAGCTGGAGGAGTTGGCTTGATCCTGTATCTTGGCATCTGGGTCTTTAAATTCCGCCTGTGGATGTTCCACCGACAGTGAGTGAGGCTCGGGTAGATTCATGGAAGCCTCTCCTTCCTCCGGATCTCCCACAGACACACTGTGCTGAGCATCCCCCAGGAGCGGAGCCACCACTGAGGATTCCTCCTTGCTCGTTTCCTCGCTCCTTTGACTCCCCTGAGCACCGTGTGCAGATTCATTGTCAGCACCACCTGTCAGAATCTCTTCCACAGTTCTCACTTTGTGGGGCGTGTCTTTTGAGATACGAACAGTTACTTCATTTAAGCCATCTTCTTTGTTCTCAGAGGTTGATTTTAATATGTCTTTACCCTTCTCAGGGTCTGGCAAAGAGCTGGGCTCGCTGACTTCAGCAGGCCTGTACACAGCCAACCCATCCTGCTCTTTGTTTTCTGAATCAGCCATCTCTTGCTTCAGGGCCTTCTGAGATTCCTGAACTTGTTTCCCTATCCCTTCCAGGTGAAGATCAGGATCATTTTCTGAGTCCTTTCCAGGACTGCTGTTGGGTACTTGTGCACTCAAAGGACTGTCTCCTACAACGTCAAGGGCAACAGGATCTGGTGGTGGTGGTGGTTTCTCCTGCTTGCTCTCTGGGCCTAATGTGTCATCATCTTCTTTCCTTTCTTCCTCTGAATTAGAACCCTCTGAATCCCTCAGACCTGGTCTTTCTTTGCCCCCTGTGACAATAGAGAAGAGAGTGTCGCCCCAGTCCGTCAGTATATTCGTATCGTCGTTTCCGAAGTCAGGGGGCAGAGTCAACTCAACCTCGTGCTCTGTGCTTGCAGGCTGCTCTTTCTCTGTTGAGTGTTTCTCAACTCCAGACATCGCTGGAGTGCTGTCATCTTCTCCACTCGTGAAGGTCAGCAATGGGAGCGTGTCGAAGTCTTCGCTGTCATCCTCTTCTTCCTTCTCGATGGTGTAGTACTCTGCATCCAGCTCCTCATCAAAACCATCCTCCAGGGACGTGACAAGCCTTGTCGTCTCATCATCAGATACCAGCGCATCAGCAGTGGAGCCAAACTTGGTTTTCAAGTCCAGACTCATCTCTTTCTTTAAGAGCTTATATGCATCCATTTTCTCCTGTCCACTAGAAGCCTGAGAACTGTTGCTGGTTTTGTTGTTCTCACTTTTTGGCCCTTTTAACGGATCTTGTAACATTTCTTCAAAAGGTTCAAATGGAGATGGGTCCTCTTGAGTGGCATGCGCCTCACTATTTGAAGGAACAGGGTTCTTCTGAGCCACAAATGGATCTTCAGGATCCTTAGTGTTTTCGGAGCTCATGCTTTCATTTGTCTCTGCATTGGCTTCTACTGGTTCAGGTTCAAGTCCACTTTCCTTGGATACTGTGGGAACTTTTTCCCCAGGGGGAGACATATGTTTCCCACTTTGTTCTAAATCTCCAGTTGCAGAATCATACAAGTCTAAAAATCCTAAAAGTTCTTCTATGTTATAATTATCAAAATCATCTTGTCCCCCATCAAAACAGACAAAATCTGTCTCCTGTAAGGGAAAGAGAGAACAAGAATCACATGTCACAGAGGCAAACTCTAGACTTAGGTTAGTGACAGAGATGCTCTCAAATTCATGACTGGCTCCAGAGGGGACTTCTGGGCCATTCACGGGCCCACCTGGGGTGGGAAGGCTGGACCCCACCATCCCTCCGGGAGTAACATTCACAGCTTCCTTTCGCTCTCTTCATCAGGACAGGAACGACTCCTGTGGCTGGCAAGCTGGCCCCCTACCTTCTGTTTGAAATTTGCTGGGGGAAAGCAAATTTTTTTTATAAAGATTGATTTATTTATTGGAAAGTCAGATATTCAGAGAGGAGGAGAGACAGAGAGGAAGATCTTTTGTCTGATGATTCACTCCCCAAGTGAGCGCAATGGCCAGTGCTACGCCAATCAGAAGCCGGGAACCAGGAACCTCTTCTGGGTATCCCACGCTGGTGCAGGGTCCCAAAGCACTGGGCCATCCTTGACTGCTTTCCCAGGGCAGAAGCAGGGAAGCTGGATGGGAAGTGGAGCTGCCGGGATTAGAACCGGCGGCCATATGCCGGCGCGTTCAAGGCGAGGACTTTAGCTGCTAGGCCACGGTGCCAAGCCCAGGAAATGCAAGTATTTTGCTCCTCCATGCTGTCAGAGGGACTGCAGTTGGGTAGCACTGTCTGGGCCTGACTGGGTCTGTCTTGCTCTAGACTGTAGTGTTTTCAGACCTGTTGTTTCTGCTCACTTTTAGTAACTCCAAAGGAATCTATCTGTAAATACCGGGCGACATATTTGGCTTCCACCTTCCCAATACCTGAATCTCTTAATTTGTTACGAGCACTATGAGAAAAAGTGAGGTGCCATTTCTTGCCCCTCTCCCCTGAATCCCAAAATCTACGCCTGACATTCTGGAGCTCTACAGCACAGCAATCTGCCGAGAAGTCGAGCAGCATCCTGGTGCTCTCCCAAGGTGTGATGCACACTATGTGGTTTTGTTCACCCAGCTAGGTAACAGCCGGTCACCTAGCCATTCTCTAGATATGGCTGCAGGGATTTCTAGCTCATATTTTCCTTGGATTGGACACCAGCTTAAGAACTACCACAGTGGGCCCAGTTGATCCTCCCCCTGCAAGCACCAGTATCCTATAGGGCCACCAGTTCATGTCCTGGCTACACCATTTCCCATCCAGCTCCCTGCCTGTAACTTGAGAAAGCAGCAGAAGGTGGCCAAAAGCCTTGGGACCCTGCACCCACATGGAAGGCCCAGAAAAAGCTCCTGGCTCCTGGCTTTGGATTGGCTCAGCTCTAGCCATTACAGCTATTTGTGGAATGAACCAGCAGATGAAAGATCTTTCTCTCTGTTTCTCCTTCTCTCTGTGAAACTGCCTTAGGAAAATCAGAACTACCTTACTGAGACGCAAGCACAAAGAAAGTAAAAATGCAAAAGGGACAGAAAATACTCTCAAGGGTGCTCCCTGCTGTATTACTGCCACCATAGCAACCCACACACAAGGTGCAGCAGGATATACACCTTACTGTAAATCAGGGCTCCAGGCAATCCTTCAGCTCTTCTCCTGGGACTACTTATAAATCTAGATTCTCCCTTCCCCCTAGTGGTAAGCAAACTGGCATAGAAGGAGCCATAAACTGGGCAAAAAGTTAAAAATCCAACAAGGGCAATTTTCTTCTCCTAACTAAACCTTGCCAATATTCTGCAGAGACCTGTCCATTGCCAGAGGAACACACAACTTTCTCTTTCCACCACAAGCATTTCTTTGTTTTTAAAGATTACTTTTACTTTTGAAAGGCAGAGTTACACAGAGAGAGGAAGAAGGAGAGACAGATATCTTGAATCTGCTGGTTCATCTCCCAAATGGCTATAATGGTCTGGAGCCAAGAGCTTCATAAAGGTCTCCCACATGACTACAGGGGCAGAAGCAAGGATCTTCTGCTGCTTTCCCGTGAAGACCAGCAAGCAGCTGGACTCAAAATGCTGGGACTTAAACCAAGGCTCATATGGAGTGTCGGCATTGTAGGCAGCAGCTTAACCTGTTATGCCACAATGCCAGTCCCCACCACATGCATTTCTGTGCTGTTTTCTAAACATGGAGGGAAGCATGCAATGGGAGGGATAACAAGAAGATAGATTCCCAAATAGGTGAGGTCTCTGTCCCCTTGAATGGCTACCTCACCCTAATGTCCCAGAAGTCTCTTCTTCAGGAGCAAAGCTCAACAGGCAATGGGGTAGTTCCATGGCTCCTGAGGCCATCAGGGAATTGCAAGAAGAGCAATAGCTCTGCTGCTTAATCCACACTGCCAGTCTCAGCAAAGAACCACCATAACTGCTGGCCTGGTCTGCCAGGTTTATAAATGTCTGCTCTGTACACAAGTTTTTTGCTTTGTTTTGTGCACAGGTTTTTAAAACGAAGATGGGAACTAACTACTTTAGAAAATAATCAGCTGCAATGAGGATTCAGAACAGTCTTCTTAGTCACAAAACCATTTTAAGCCAGCCCAGCGCCGTTGAGAGCAGACATGCCTTATAGAGCACGCAGTCAGTGTTTCAGACTCAGGGCTTGGCCTCACTCAGTACTCCCAGAATCCCTCTTCCAAACTATAATATAACCAAAATCCCTTAAATCACTGACATCAACAATAAGAAAATCCTTGCCAGACTGAACCCAGGATACAATTTAGGGCTAATGAATTTAACCTGATTTCTACAGTTTTTAGATGCCCGGTTGCTATTGAGAGAGTAGTTTTCGAACAGAATATATTCTCCTTTGTTTGTTAAGTTTGTTAATGAAGTTATTTCTTTCTTAAATTTTTTTCTTCACTTTTTTCACATAGTACATAGAGAAAAAGTCTCATATATGAGCTTATAACTTTGCTATATAACAAGGGCATTTGCTTCACTTTATTAGACGAGCATCTAATTTCAATATAATCTTAAAAATTCTTTTCCCCACAATTTGTATTTGCTTAATCAATAGGCAGAGAGAAAGAAAAACAAATAAAGGTGTTCCCATCTGTTGGATCACTCCCCAAACGTTTCTGGGGCTCCCCAGCAAAGGCCAAAGCCACAAGCAGGGAATTCAATCCATGTCACCCACGTGGGTGTCAGAAACCAATCATCTGAGCCATCACCTGCTGCCTCCCGGGGTATTCACTAGCAGAAAACTGGCATCAGAGGAGAAGCTGGTGTAAAACTCAAGCATCCCAATGCAAAACACAGGAACCTAAACTGGTGTCATAATTGCCAGGCCAAATACTCAAGCCTTCCCTTTAATTCTTTTCTAGCTTTTTTCCCCTTTTTTAGAGGGATTCCTCTAAAAAAAAAATCAAAATTAAGAGCTGAGACACAAATGTTAGATTTTTTTATTTCCCTGGTTAAAATACATTCAAATTTTCCAAAATTCTTAATTAAACACAGCTGATGGATTTGTAAGAATTTGCAACTGAGAACAAAAAGAAATGCAAACTTACATCTGCTGGAATTCGCAGTTCTTTTTCAGTATATTCATGGACAACCTTGATTAAATCCTTTGGAAAATATCCAAAAATTCTCCCAACCTATATAAAAGAATTGTTAAAAGGTAAAACATCAATCAAATTCTATATAAGACAGATAAAAACATGACACTTCTCAGCACTGACAGGAAACCTATACATAGGTAGGTAAGAAGATACAAACAAAATGAATACATAATTGATGTTATAATTATACCGTTATCATTATTTCAACAAAAATTGATCTAAAACTTAAAGTTGTTTCTATATTCAGCTTGCTTTCAGGTACAAAGGATACATGGGCATTTAAGTACATGAAATTTGATTTTAGAAGTAGATAAAATATCTGCAAAGGAGAACATTAAATATGAATAAAACTAGGCAAATTAAAGCTAACTTGAAGCATAATTCCAAACACTTCTAGAAGTTACCTGCATATTTCACAGTACCGCTTATAAACTAATACTTACAAGTCTTTCTTAATTAATAAACTACAGCCATAAAAATTAGTAAGTAAAATGAACATACAGTTTCTGATGTGTTTGACCATTACAATAAGGGATAAATATTTATTGATATTATGTGTTATACTTTCTCAACAACTATATTTACAGGCACTTCAGGAGTAGACAAAGTTACAAAGCAAAACATACTAATGTCCACATCAGGCTTCAGCTTCCTGCCAAATACATCCTCGAAAGAAAGTGTTTCATCTCTCAGCACAAGCATTTATTACATGTGCACTTTCAGGTGTATACTTAGCATCTCTGTCCTCTTGAGAAACACACTCTCACTAGCCACTGCCCCAATCATTAAAGGAGATTGAGAGGTAAATCAAATATACAAAAGAAAAGAAAAAGGCCATCACATCACCAATACATGAATTAAGATGAATTAAGAAGTGAGAAGGTGGGGCAATTAAACTGGCAAGTCAAGTCTGGAGCTCTAAACAGTTAAAAAAAATCATTTAAAAAAAAAAAAAACAGAAACCTACAGAATAAAAATTAAGAATCAGATATAAAAATCATTTTAGAGATTAGGAAAAGAGTTATTTTTAAAAAATTTTTTTAAGATTCATTTTATTTTTATTGGAAAGTCAAATATACAGAGAGGAAACTCTTCATCCATTGATTCACTCTCCAAGCGGCTGCAACAGCTGGAGCTACGCTGATCCAAAGCCAGGAGGCAGGATCCTCTTCTGGGTCTCCACATGGGTACAGAACCCCAAGATTTTTGGGCAGTCCTTGACTGCTTTCCCAGGCCACAGGCAGGGAGCTGGATAGGAAACGGGGCTGCGGGGATTAGAACCGGTGCGCATGTGAGATCCTGTAAGGACTTTAGCCACTAGGCTCCTGTGCAACGCCTTATTTTTTTGATTTCATAAATGTAAGGTTCATGAAATGTGAAGGGAGATACCCAGGAAACAAGAAGGGAAACACCAAAAATACAACTCTCCCTTTTGAGGAGAAAAAAAAAAAAATAAAGACATACTTATTAATTCAAAAAGCCTAATTAGAGAGAGACCAGGCCAAGGTCACGAGTCATGATCTCCGCCCTAGTCTCCCATATGGATGGCAGGGACCCAAATGTCTAGGGCATTATTTATTGCCTTGCAAGGCCCATGATCAGGATGCTGGATCAGGGTAACCTGCTGTGCCACAAGGCTGGTCCTTGAGGAAGAATGTACTAAGGGAACAACTAGAAAAGAGAAAGAAATCAGAGACTCCTGGATAAAGCAACTGTATTTGAGTTTGCTTATTCTTTGTCAACTGAGACCACGGGTTATACAAGAGTCCACATTCGGAGTCAGTTCAACAGTGCAGTGCACTAAGCCTCCAGCTGAGATGCTGACATCATATACAGATGGACCCTGAAGTCCTGGATGCTCCACTTCTGATCTAGCTCCCTGCCAGTGTGCCTGGAAAAGCAGTGGAGAATGGCACAAGTGCTTGGCTCCCTGCCATCTACAGGATCACTTCGGCAGCATGTATACTAAAACTGGAATGATGCAGAGAAGATTCGCATGGATCCTGCATAAGGATGGTACTCAAATTTGTGAAGAGTTGCAGGATTCTGGATTTAATCTGGCCCAACCAGGCATTTGTGGGAATGAACCAATCAATGAACAATCTCTTTGTCTCTGTAGTTCTTAAAACAAACAAACAAACAAACAAAAACTTGCAATTTATATATTGGGTAGTAGCCCATTTTCTATAACCTGACAAATCAAACTCCAGAATCAGAGGCTCTCATGATTAGAAGTAATCTTTGGGCCTAATTTGGCTTCCACACAGCATTCCTTCAAAGGTACTAACAAAGAAAATAAGAGTACAGTCTCCAGAGAGCCAATTCTGCATGTGCTATTATCAGCACACACCTAACTGCCACTACCCATAAGGAAGTCTGTCCCAAGGAAGACAGATAAGCCCTGGGCCCTTTTGTTGCAGAGGCTGAGATTGGGCAGGGAGCTAGGGCAGTAAGCATGCTAATCATGATGCAAAGCAGTGAGCACACATACACAGAACAAACAGGACAACACCTAGATCACCATCTGACAGCAAAGACCTCCCCTGACTGGGTGCTGGGGGCAGTATTACACGAAGGGGGAATGAGGGCAGTGACCCAAAGAGATGGACAAGATTTAGAGAGTTGAAAATGGTCAAGAGCAAAAATGTGTAAGAGGCAAAAGCAAGTCAAGTTCATTTATCCCAATGCTCATCAAAAAGGTGCAGGGAAAAGGGATGCCACAACTCCAGGACAAATGCCGCTACGGCACATGGAAAAACATTCCCAAGCCTAAAGATGATCAAGAGATCTCATTTGGTGGACTCAGAAAAAAAAAAATCGGAGTAATTCAACAAGGGCATCACTCTAAATATCAGAGTAGCACTTTCCCAGTTGGTGTTTCATGATTCCTCCTTCAGACCTTGAACACCACCAAGATGAATCTATTTCCTCTACAGGACCTTCTCCAACCTTTTCTGTTACCCGTGTGGTGTTTTATTAAGGCTGAAAACATTCACAGCTGGGACTGGAAATGTCTGCAAATGGGGACAATTGTAAAGTCATCAAGGACCCTCACTACTAATTTAAAGAAATAGAGTCCACATGTCCCACTTTTCAGAAAGCAAAGAACAAAAACCCAAACACCACTGAACAGGGCCACTCTTGGGGAACCTTTGCACCAAAACATGGAAGCATGAAGCAGCTACCGACTGCCAGGTCTGATACCAGGACACTTATCACGCTGGCTTGCAAGAGGCTGTCAGCTAGGGAACCTGCAACCACCAGCATCTCAAAAGCAGGAATAGGATGTCCTAGAAGTTGCAAACAAATGAAGCCAAACAAACAAACAAAAAAAAAACCAAGAAGGCATACAGTGGACACATTTTGCTTTACATTAATACTATGAAAACAAAGAAAAACAAAGTCTATTAGAGACCTGCATGCCTGGGTGCAGCAAAGCCATTGCCTGTAATGCAACATCCCAGATTAGAGCAATGCTCAAGCCCCAGCTGCCCAACTTCCAATGCACTTCTTGCTAAAGTGCCTGGGAAGGCAAGGAAGATAGTCTAAGTGGTTTGGGAGACGTGGATGGAGTTCCTACTTTTTGGCTTCAGCTTGGACCAGAAGTGGCTGATGAAGCTATTTGGTAGTGAAGCAGAGGATGGAATGTCTGTCTCTATTAATCTGCTTTTCAAATAAATGACTGAACTGAAAGAAAGAAAGAAGGAAGGAGGGAAGGAGGGAGGAAGGGAGAGAGAAGGAAGGAAGGAGAAAGAGAGCAGGAGAAAAAGAGGGAGGGAGGGAGGGAGAAGGAAGGAAGCTGTATGCCTGCACCACTATCTCATTTGTAGGTTACAGGATTAACTCTAAAGCAGGGAAGGCAAGAACTCTCAGGTTTTCACCATCCCAACCTTCAATGTGTACAGAGCGTCCTGGAACTGGATGCGGAGGGGCAACAGTGAGAATGAGTCCAGCTGCGTTTCAGAGCCCTCTGCTGAGGACCTGCTCTGAGGCCTGCCTAGGGACGAGGTCTCATCTTTTAGCACAGTCTGTTAGAGAGCATAAGTTAACTCCATCAAAGGCCTCAAGGAATCATGGTCACTGAAGTCTACAGTATTAAACAACATGACAAAAAGCAAGAAAATAAAGTATATCAAATTTTCTACTTACACTTCCAGCCCAAACTTCAGGTGATCCCCCTGCCAGCTTATAGTACACATACACAGGGTCACCTTTTTTAAAATTCACAAAACGACAGTCTGGGCCTGTGAAATCGTCGAGAGCCTCACCCCGGTACATTAACACTGCATACAAAAACAGGAAAAAAAAATAACCAGATATCAAATTTAATTTTCACAATCCATATTGATGTATAGAAAACTTAAGCATCCCACTGTAAGTAACCGTATTTTTCTAATACTCCCTCAGAATGCTTTTCCATTCACATGCTTTGAGTATCTAGAATCCTCAGCACTTTACTGCTTACAACATGACACCCTTTGCAATGAGCTAGGGAGAGGGGCCCAGAAGAATGCTGGGAAACAAAAAGTGATGTGGCAACCCCACACCTTGCTGGTCTCTAGACAAATCTTTGATTCCCTTGCTAACCTAGTCCTCAGTCTTCTCTGTTTCATAATCATATAAAGCTTCGTTTTGCAAATGGATGAATTCAAGTGCTAACTGGCTTAAGCCTGGCTACTTGGAGACATAATAGAGAACTGGGAGGAGAAGAGCACCCAGGGACACCTAAGGGGTCAATTAACTTGAACTAATCACTAAAAGGCACTAACTTAAAGTGGCTGCAATTGCTACTATGCAACAAGAAACATCACCAACTTCATTTGGAGACAAGCTGTTCTCTCTGTACAGTATGGGAATAAAGAAACGGGACAGGATGTCACTCCCTATTATGAACAGATCCAATCACAAGGCAACATGTTCCTACAGTAAATACTGTTGACTGTACCCGCCAGTAAAGATGTTTCAATACAAAGAAGAAATGCCATTAGCTGCATTTTTCTATAAATAAAATAAAAACTGGGCATTCCATTTGGCAGGGATCAAGCAGAAATGATGAAAACAGACCAACAGATACCTTCATGCTTAAAATGCAGGACTTAAATCACACTTCATCTAGAAACTGGTTGGAGCAGTATTTTTCCATTTGTTGACCACATCCATAGTTTCTGATGTAAGATTAAATGGACAATAAATGCAATTTAATAGCAGAAACAAGGATGGAATGGAAATTATTACTTTTCTTCTAAAAGCCAATTAGCAATAAAAGACAATTAGACCAATCTTAAAAAAAAAAATAGATATGCAAGGAACAAACATTTGGAAGGGACTGTTTCCTGAAACTCAACTACTACTCTTTCCAGACATGTCAGCACCTTCATTTGGAACTGGGGAAGAAGCCAGCTTGAAGACAATGAAAACTTGTAAGATTGGGAATTCTACAGAAATTAGAAATGCCGATGCTTCTGTTCGCCCTCAGGCTGTCAGGGGTCGGAAGGAACCCAACGGAGGACAACATACTGCACATTCGCAAAGCATTCAGGAAAAACCTTACTCAACACTTGGTACAGAACAACACCGAGCCAGGTAATGCCTGTTGTGTTTGCTTACAACTGTTTGGAAACCTGCAGCCTTTCTCAGGTGGCACACAGAATCCAGCTTTTCCAATAGACATCTCAGTATCGGAGAAGCATCAGAGACATTACTGGTTTGGAGGAACCCAAGCAGGATAGTGCTTGGAAGTAAAGACTTGCAAACACGTGGCCATCTCGAATGGCAAATGGACATTTGGTAATGTTCCAAGACAGAAAACAGAAGGAAAAACCAGGGTGCTATTCCTTTACGTCAGCGGGAGCGTTATTTCTAGGAACCCCTTAACACAGATAAGAGATGGCCTCCTTTCTCCTGTTCAACTGCAGTGATATAAACCTTCAGAGTATCAACTCTTAGAAAACGAACCTCAATACACACATATAGCGTAGGCTTCCTGGCCCTTTTAGAATGAATGTATTTTTATACCATTGCTTATGATTTTTACAAGCCACCATGACTGCAGGATGGTCTGTAAGTTACAAGGTTAAGACCTGTCAAACGCCAAGGAAGAGATTCCCGCACAACCAAGGCGAGTGCCGGTTCTGCTTACAAGGCCCTTGGAGCATTTATAACGATGATTACAGAAACGACCTTCTGCATCTCGGTCTTCACGTTGCTCTCTCCCCATCGCCCATCTCCAAGCTGGGACTGGGATGTGAAGCGGAGCCTGCCGGTCCCAGGTGGCCGGTGCGGATCCTCGGCCTCTTTCCAGAGCCACGGACTCTGGCCTGCCTGCTGCCCTGCCTGGCAGCTTGCAAGGACGATTCCACGCACAGAAATAACAAGGCTGGAGTCAGAGTCCTACAGAAACCACTGCGTACCTGCCCTCCCGGCTCGTCCCAAACCAAACATCCAAGCCCAGCTCCAAAGGTAGTACGAACTCAAACCCCAGATAAGAAGGACGCAGCACCAATTAGCCCTGGCCCAGGAGCCACTTTCATGCCACCGGGAACACACGCACCGAGCCCTCAGCGCATCTGCCCAATTGCTGCACCACCGAGATCCTGGTGGCGAGGGCAGGAAGCACTCGGCTGCAGCTTAGGGATCTCGGGGTACACAAGCCCCTCAACCTAGAGCCCGGTCCCCGTACGGCTGTCCCTGAGGGAACCAGGGGTCAACCGGACGCCCCGCCCGGGTCAGCAGAGTGAAAAATAAAAACGCTGGCAACAAGTGGGAGGTGCAGCCCCCCGCCGCCACGTTGGCTGGGGGCAGAGCCGATGGGCGCAATTGCCGGCTCCCAAAGGCTTGCCCATCCCTGGGCTCCGCCGGCCCGGGCTGCGACCACCTCCCCACCATCAGCACCACACACATACACCGCGATGGGTCCCCAAGGCTCCGGAGCCGGGACCCCGCGCAGCCCGGGCGGAGCCACCGCCCCGCCGAGCCTCGGAGACCCCGGGCGGGCCGCCCGCCCCGCGGCGCACTCACTGCTGCATTCGTCGTCCGCGCAGAGTTTGTGCTCCGAAAAGCGCCGATCGATGCTCGGGTCTGGCTGGCCCGACCCCGGCCAGGGCGGCCCGAACACGAGCAGCCAGAAAAGCAGCCCCGGCGCCGCAGCCATGTTGTGGTCACCCCGGGGAGCCTGTGACGCGGAGGAGGCGGCCGGGCGGGCGCGGCGGGCGGCGCCGGGGCGGGGCGCGGGGGCCGGGTGGGAGGTGCGGCGCGGAGGGCGGCGCCCGAAGGGTCCGAGCGGTTCCCGGCCGACACGTCAGCAGGGGCTCCGGCAGGGGACGCGGCGGCGGCCGGAGCCGAGGGCACCGGCGGCGCCTCCTCAGCCTGAGGCCTTCTCCGCTCGCTGCCTTGGCAACCGCGACTCTGGGTCTCCGCGCTCGCCCAATCGCGGGCCTCTGCGGGGTCCGGCTCGCAGCGGACCCTCCACGTGCCTGCCTCGTTGTCAGCGGCCACTGAACGCTTGCCAAGTCCTTCCCGCGCCCTGTCGCGACCGCGGGGTCCGCTCCATCTCGAACCGGCGCGCTCCACCGGCTCTCGCCCTTGATTGCTGCTTTGGGGCTTCCCTACCGCTGGGTCCGCTTCGAGGCTCCATTTGCCAATGATTCCCAGGGGTTCGCCGGGATCCCCACCCTGTGACCCCCTTAGATTAGGAAAGGGGAAGGAAGGTGGAAAGTGGATTGGGGTGTACATTAGAGCTAGGGACCAGCTGGGTCTCTAAGCGGAGCGGGGGGGGGGGTTAGATGGCAGGCGAAGATTCTTTCAGATCTTGAGGATTGTCCATTAGAGAGGAATCCCTCGAGTTCCCATTTTATGCTTACCATTCATGATCGAGACACCGAACCAAGCTCTGTGGTGGGCCAGGGCCATGCAAACCCTGGTTTGTGTCTGAAAGAACCCTCAACTTAGTGGAAGCCCAAGGGCCTGAAAATGAGGAAGAGTGAGCAGGAGAGCAGAGAAAGGTAGTTTACTGCGTACTTTCCGTCTGTCCAGTTGTGAGTCTATGTGCTCATTCCAACTTCACACAACAGCCCTTTATAATAGATTTTTCTGATGCTATCCATTTTAGAGATGAGGCCGTGAGTCATTCCCACACCTAGCGAGGGGTGGAGCTAGTGTTCAAACTCAGGTACTGTGTTCCCTTGCTAATCACTAGTTTGTAGAGCCTCCATCAAGTGACAGGCCATTTGTGCATCTCCTTTCCGATTAGTGGGATAGTTCCTCCCAAAACTCTTACATAAATGCGCGTCTGTATGTTCCGTTTACAAAGGGGAAGGGACAGAAGCAGCTGAGTCTGAGGAAGAGTGGCTCCAATGCTGGCTGGAGCTCTTCACCTTTGTCTGTGTCCAGCAGCTTTTCATGACGGGGAACCACCAACCCATCACTTGATCTCCTAAACTTACTAGGTTCCTAAAAAGCAAAAGGGAAGAATATGGTCTCTCCGTGGAACCCATGCAGTTGAATGGAGAAGAAGATGCTAGCGAGGCCTGCTTTTTGTCCACAGGGTCCGTGAGACTCCCACTGCCCCGGCAGGCTGCTGTTGGCTGGAGAGGACCTGGCTGCAAGATCAGGCACAGGCACCCTCCAGGCCTTCATCTGGGTGCCCGTCATTCTTCCTCTCTTTTGCTATGTATTGATTTAGTCATCTTTGACAGCACACTGAAAACCCAACTCTATATTTCTTCTCTCAAACCCTGCTCCTTTTGGTCTTCCCTATTTCTGACAGGAAGCTGAATGGAAATTTGGTTTCCATCTCCCATGTGCCTAAGCCAAAAGCAAACCACCCTAGAACTCTTGCTCTCACATCCCAAGCCTCAGAGCACATGGTTTTTACTTCATTCAGGTTTTGATCCATGGTTGACCCACAACAGACAAGACTGTGAGAGCTGAAACAAACAGAAATCATCTTATCATGTACCATAAACCTGCCACGCTGCCTGCCCAGAACAGCCAAAAGACCTAACACTGAAGCTCCTAGGAAGAACCCTGTTTGTTGACAAGGGTGAAACTCCCGATGTCTAGAGAATGGTGTGAAATATTTTTTAAGGGATACAGTTTTTGTCCAAGATGGGGTGACAGATTTACCTTTCTGCATTAAGTATCTTCAAAACTTAGCAAGGGTGAGCATTTAGCCTAGGGTTAAGATCCTGTGTTCTGTAAGATACATGGGTTAAGTTGCCCATGTCCCATATTACAGTGTCTAGCTCTGCTTCCTAGCTCCAGCTTGCTGCTAATGCGGATCCTGTGAGGGAAGTAGTGCCAATTCAGGTAACTGAGTTCCTCTCACAGCCTCTCTGGTCACTGCTTGGGCCTCAGCCAAACTCCAACCAAACTTCTGGCTTTTGTCCAGTGAACCAGTGGTTGGGAGTCTTTCTTGTCTCTGGCTCTAACTACACCTGGAAAATATACAAAGTTAACAGTTTACTGACATGAAACCTTAAACCATGTGGGACTGTAGAGTTGAGCATCTGAGGTGAATGCCATCATGGATCCAGATTACTCCAGGCCATGCCCATGCAAGGGAAACTTGAATAGGGGGCTTTCTCGATTTAAGGAGACAAGATCTGCAGCATACACAAGAGCTGGGGCTTGGGGCAGAGCTGGCAGGGGGCTTTAAGAGCTGGCCAGGCCGCAGCACCTGCTTTGGGGGGAGGTCCACCTGTGGCTTTTGGTATTGGCAAGCCGCACAACCTTTCATCTCATCTGTCCTCAGTGCACAAAGTTCATGATTAGACCACGAATGTCAAGGCCTCTCTGCACACAGAAGATAACATCTCAGAGTAACGATGAAGACACAAGGGACATAGCTATCGGCACTGAATGAAAATCCTCCTCTGGCTCATAAGAGGGATCCATTAGATGAAATACAAAGAGAGTTCCAAACCCAGGATTGACAAACTTTATGTCTCTAATAAGCAGAAAGTAACTACAGAAGATGTGACAAATCTGCACCCTTCAGCAACCCTTACAATAGCTGAAAATCAGGGCTGGTGTCATATAGCTTCTAGGTGCTGTTTTAGATTTTTTTTTGCTTGTCAACCGTGGCCTATCACAGGTGACCAGAAACTTGAATCATTATAAGGCAATCCCTCGGAAAGGTTTATTGAAATACATTATTTGGTTGTTGTATTTCCCTCTAATGCCAAGAATAAAACCTACATTGTTTTGTTTTGTTTTGACCTCCTTACCCCTGACCTCCTCCCAAAGCTTAACATTCTCTGTGAGGAATGTTAGTGTCTATGAGTGTTTTGGCTTCAGGATTGTAGACTTCATTCAACATTCCATGACCTTAAGCTAGATAAATTAAGACTTTTCTGGCTTTCTTAAGGGTTTTCTTGGCTCTCTTATTAATGCTTATTATTTACATTTTTTTAAGACACTGTATACCAGGCCCAGCACGGTAGCCTATTGGCTAAATCCTTGCCTTGCATGCTTCAGAATCCCTTTCAAATAATTTTTAAAAGTAGGTTAATTAGTTTTTTTTTTTTAAAAAAGGATAATATGCTTAAAGAATAGTAAGGAGACCTAATCTTACTAGAGTGAAAGGATCCTATTAGCTTAAAGGGAAAAAATTGAGTGACAAAGATGTATCCATTATGAAAACTCTTTAAAATCAAGCACAAGAACTTAGACTTAAATAGAATAAAAACATAGAAAGCTGTCAGATCAAGGGGTCATGTAACTGATGCAGAATTTAAAGAGGTGCCCTGTTGTGAGAGCCAGGGAGAAAGCCAGCCAGGGAGAACAGAGGTATTTGTTGGGAATGACCAATAAGGTTAAAACCCTCCTTTAAAAAATTGTGTCAAATATTCTACTGGAAGTGCGTCATAAACAAGGTAAGATCTTCTACCAGCATGGCCTATTTGTCCAGTCATGGCGAATATTATTCCAATTTCTGCCACACCCAGAAAGAAATTCAAACATCTAAAGTCTCTACAAGCATATAGATTTATATAAAATTTCCTGTTTCCGGTTCTGCCAAATTTACCTTGGCACTATTTCAACTGAAGTCAAATATTTGATGCTTTGAAACAAACGCAGAACAAACTCCAGGGTGTGGTTTGTGCAGCTCTGTCTCCACAGCGCACACTGCTTTTGTGCAGGTAGTTTTTACACAGGAAGTATTGCCTTACCATGAGAACAGCAAAGGCCAGCAATGCCGTCAGAGTCAGGAAGCCTAAAGGTGACAATGGGCAGGCAGTTAGGATTCAAGCTTTCGATTCCACATCTATAATGTTGGGGCTAAAATTAAAACTACAGTGTGCTTTTAAAATAGGAGATATATAAAATGATTATTTTTGTTTTCTGTTGGAACAAACAGCAAAATCTCTGGCTGATACAGACAACTCAAGGGTTGATGGTGAAATAAGAGTCTTAACCAGTCAATGGCGTCATCACAAAGGAGCTACTTTGAAGGCGGCAGCAATGCTGCAGTTGTTCTCACTAAAGAAGAAACCCGGTAACATCCTTTTAGGCCACGCTGGAAAGAACCAGAGCACCTCCTGAAAGTGCCGCCGAGTGCTGAGGAAAAAAGGGCTTTTTGAGGATAACATCTCGGTCAATCTAACACTGAGAGATCAAACAAGCCAACTGCACCTTCAGTGTTTTCACTGATACATGTGATATAAAATTAGAAATAGGGGGCTTCAACATCATTGGAAAGACTGTACTCAAATGTGCACACTGAGCAACTACATACTGAAAAATAAGAGTTCTCTCTAATCAGTACGAAAGCTTGTTTCCGTCTAGAGTCGCATGGCGTGTAAAGTGGTATGGAACTTATAAGAGGATGGAGGAATGACATCAAGCTAGATTGATTACATAGAATCTAATCTGAGCCTCATATGTCTCGTTTTTCTCACAGCTTCCTTAGGACAATGCTGCCAACAGAAATAGAACAAAATGCCAGCTACCTATGCAATTAAATTTTCAGGAAATCACAGTTTAAAAAGTATGACTCATTTAACCTCACACATAAAAATATTATCATACCAATACTAAGTCAGTATGAAGGTTCTGAGTTACTTCATCTTTGTTATTTTATATGAAGTCTTTGAGGGGTCTGGCATGGTAGCCTAGTGGCTAAAATCCTCACTTTTCATGCACTGGGGT